AGTAAGACACTTTGTGGTTGTCAAAAACTTCATTTCCTTTCTACTTACAGTACACAGAAGTATGGTAGATACATCCTTGTGGTCCTGGAGTAGGCTTCCCTAGCTCCACATTAACTGAGAAAGCTTGGGTAAGCAAGAGCGATCCACTTTGCATATCTCTGCTGACGAAGTTTAGAAGTTCAGAACCACTGTCGCTTCAAAGAAGGCTGATTGCATTTTTGGTTTCTATCAGGGTAAAGTGATCATTGAACTAGGCAAACATTAAATTGATTTAGACTTGGGACAGCTGATTGATCGCCTCTCTGTTGATTGGCGATGGGTGATTGAGGACATTGTGTGGGTGCTCTGTCTGCCTTTGTTATTTTGTCCTGTCTGCGTGTAGTGTGGTCCCATCAGCAGCTCGGAGAGGAATGTTTCTGATGCCTGTAGCTCATAAATCGTCATGAGCACATACAGTAATAAAACTCCTCCATGCCATTTCAGTCAGCCTAGGACTACACTTCATCTGCTTTTGTTCTCAGCAATGAGATGACAGAGCATTAAGAGCAGTGCATCTGTGTCAGCTAGTCTCTTGGACATTACCAGGGAACACATTCTTGGAAGAAAGCTGATTTGCAGTCATTTGAGTAGGCCCTATGATATTGTTGCTCCAAACAGTTCATCCAGTCCTTGGGAATCATGAGACATCCACGTGTAACAGAAAACAGCTGTTTTATGTAAAACATCTTACTGGTTAGCCACAAGGTGGTTAACTGTAAAAATAAATTAGCAGCACTTATTTGGTCATTTTTGTAAGTAAAACCACTCATCTGGGATGCAAACACCCAACTTTTTAATTTTTTTATTGCTCATTTATAGATTAAAACGTCTTGAGGCAGGCATGCAAGCTTAACATTTACACCCATGATATGCTGTCACATTACAGATGCTTTTGCCAAGTTTTTTCCCCCTTTTTAAAAATGTAGGCTAGATTATAGTTTATAGATAAATCTGTATGTCCATTTTCAACATAAATTTTAATTAAGTGTGGCACCGACCCTTCTGTAATCCTTGTCTCAGAGATGAAAGCCGGGGCACATCTCGTACAAATGCGAATAACCTTCTGTTGGTTATGTAAGTAAACAGAAGAGGGAAAACAATGGTCATAATAACCAAGTCACTTCTGCTATAAGAGATAAGCTACAATCCTCCACAATTATTGAGTGGCTTTTAGTCCATATGTGTCACTTGTGATTTTGTTGTGTTTAAATTCATTTTGTAACTATTTTCTGGAGTTTTAATTACTTATAGAATTGATTTCAGAAACATATTCACATGTATTTGTAGTGCCCTACACCTCCGACTGCATTAAAGAGATACAATCGAAACATACGTGCTGAGCACAGAGCAATCAGTGTCTTCAGTCAGATTTAATTTCTATGATAAGGCTGACCTAAGGGACAGTTTACTTTACAGCGACCTACCACAAATGCACACACAGAAGCACAGAAACATTTTAGAGACCAGAAATAAGCCTGCCAGCTTGTCTTCTGTGCCATAAGAAAGTAGAGCACCTGGGAAAAAAATCATGGTGATCCCAGGGAGTGCATACAGGCTCCATACAGGACACATTCACCCCTTTTGAAATAACATGACAGATCTATTTGTGTTTGGTCTGTATTTCAGGAAAGAACTAAAAACTGAGTTAGTGTTTGAGGAATCTTTGGCTATCATCACCTGACCTAAACTATTTCAAACGCACACCTTTCTCAGCATGTGACAGGGACAAAATACAGATGGATTGCATTGTCTGTCCCAAGTGTTGGCTGTACCGTAATTTAAACATTGCCTATATTTAGAAAAGCATGTTAAGGTTGATTGCCATTCATGCAGTAATTCACCAGCAGACATCTGTTTTTAACAAGCAACAAAAAAGAAACGTACTGTATGTACTATATGCTCCCCTTTTTAATATTGCCACTCCTTACACGAATGTGGACTGTTCTTTTTTTTAATTCAAGTTCTTATATTTAAAAAGGAATCAATGCATCTTTCAATCGGTCCTTTCTCCTTGAAAGGCACGTGTTGAAATCTTGAAATACAGGTGAATTCCAGACTGGGGGATTGGTGAACGGAGAAGGGTTGTGACAGGGTGGACTTGTGAAAAGGCTCGTCAGGGTGTTATTCTTCCTCGGAGTGGAAGATCTTCGTGTAATGGAGCCGTTCTAGAGCCAAAATAATTATGACATCCCTCCTTTTCGTATCCTTTTTAGCCCAAACAGGGTCACGGTGGAGCCAAAGCCGGTCCCGGCGACCAGTGGGTGGAAGTCAGGATACACCCTGGATGAGATGCCAGTCCCTGGCAGGGCACACACACACACACCCAAAAAGACATGCACGCACTTACACCTAGGGCCAGTTTTCCCAGAAATCAGTTAACCTACAGTACCAGTATGTCTGTTGGACTGTGGGAGGAAACCAGAGCACCCAGAGGAAACCTGCATGAACATGGGAAAGAACATACAAACTCCACACAGACAGCATCTTAGGTCTGGAACTGAACCCAGTGCAGAAACGCTAATTACTGTACCACCATGCAATCCTTCAATTCAACAATATAATACAAAAGCACACTGCTTCAGGAGTAATTTTATAAACCATTATTACTTTACATTGACATACAAAACCTACAGGATGTACTGAAATTAAACTGCTAGTTCAAGCAGAAGGCAGAAGATAACAGTGAGTTATAGATAGTACAGCCCAAATGAAAAATGCAAAGCTCAGACTTTTGCTTGGGGATAGGTCATCACCTATATTTCTTCTTTAGAAAGTTTCATTTAACCCTTTAAAGCTTGTATTGATTTTTTCTAAAAATAGGTACTCATGTACCTACAGTATTATGCGTGTATTGTAGGAATGCTTCTTATGATAACTAACACCTTTTTGACATTACTTTGCTCCAGTTTAGAAGCACAGACAGGCCTCTGATTAATGTGTATTAGAAAATGATCTGGGACAGGAAGCTCAAAAATAATCAATAATAAGCCTTTACTCAGGCTAAACGTGCTAAGAGCGTTTATTAACCTTAAATACCTGAGATTTCATAGTTCTATAAAGTAAACATGGTTAATATGTAAATGTTTTCAGCCAAACGTTTAGAAAAGTTGCAGTTTCATGTGAATCTGATTTGTCTCTGATTAGCCACTGGCAAATCATTGATAGATATTGTGGTCATTGTTCATGAGTTGTTTAACCATGACAAAGAAAATGGATAAGTACAGTACATCTTATCTGTGAAACATAGTGTCATTGATGTAGATTGATTTGCTCATGCCCTTTGTACCAGATCAGTCTATTTTATCACATTGAATTGCTGTTCTTTGCATATTGGGGGCGGCTTCATAAAACTCCAGAGAACTGTTTCAAGTATCGCCAAAGCAGGCGTTTCCTTTTTATGACCTCTATTGGACCTAGTGTTGACTGATGTCATTCACATTTTATTTAATACCTTCAAGCTGTGAGTGGCTGTTCTGTTTTAGTTTTATACAAGTTTACTGTGATTGCAGGATTCCTAGAATTCATACCCTGATCTCGTCCTGAGAGAAACTGTACAGTGCTGGTTGTGGTCCGCAGTGGTTGGGGAGAATCTCAGCAAAAACCAGCTTGTTAGTGAAGTGGTGGTTGTGCCCCAGCAGGTGGCGCTCTTCCGTCTGGGTCATAATTTCCAGACCAATGCCCCAGGAAGATGACAGGGGTCACTTTAGTATGTAGGAGGTGCAAACCTTCTGATGTGATGTTAAACCAAGGATCTGATTACTTGGTCATTAAGGGCCAAAGGTAGAGTTTGTAAGAGTTGGGGTGTTAATACAGATATGTCTGAATCCACAGCATATCCACTCTGGGCTTGCACAATCTGACTGCCTAAAGTTCTCTTGTAATTCAGCAGGAGGAGATGTTTTTCACTGTGTAGTGTGGCTGTTGGCTTCCGTGCTTCAGCAGCCATATCACCCTGCAACTCACAACTGGCAGCCCATTGCAGCTCAGCAGGTGCCTGGTCACTACCTGGATGGGAGACCTCCTGGGAAAAACGAAGGCTGCTGCTGGAAGAGGTGTTAGTGGGGGCAGCAGGGGGCGCTCACCCTGCGGTCTGTGTGGGTCCTAATGCCCCAGTATAGTGACTGGGACACTATACTGTGAAAAAAGGCGCCGTCCTTCGGATGAGACGTAAAACTGAGGTCCTGACTCTCTGTGGTCATTAAAAATCCCAGGGTGTTTCTTGAAAAGAGAAGGGGTCCCGGCATCCTGGCCAAATTTCCCATTGGCCCTTACCAATCATGGCATCCTAGTCCCCATTACCTGTAAAGTGCTTTGAGTGGAGTGTCCAGAAAAGTGCTATATACTGTGAGTGTAAGCAATTAATTATTATTAATTATTATCATCCTGGTGTTTCTATATAAAAAAACATAGCAGTTAGGAGATTAGACTTTGTTGCGGAGTGCATGAGCTGAGTATATATATAAATTATTTCAATTTCTATAAACCTTTTTACACAATAACATTTTTATAAAAGGTAAAAAAAGGTTTTTCAAAAGCTAATCCCTTTTTCACACCCTACATTGAAAGAGGCCTTTAACAAAGAAGCAAAGATCTATGATGAGCTCTTTATGTACTCAAATGTTAGTTGATTTGTCGCCAATCAAAGTTGATACCTATTGTGAATCACAACTATTTGCCACCATTATTGCCATTTCTTATTGTTTGTAATGGGCTTTCAGACTTGTGCTCCACTGTAGGCATGAGTTTGCAACCTGTATGAAAAGCTGTGTTATGTGCATAGTCAACGTGCCTCAGCATGCCCGCCTTAATATTAACATTTACAGGTTTATTCAAGGGTGCGACAGAGTGCTGTCTGAACAGATACAGTACATGAGTATTGATTCACAAGAAGCTAGACTGGAACTTTCTGAATCCCTGCATGAGTGACAATGACTGTTAAAGGTGTGTTCTCTTATTTACAGGTCGACATGGCTTTTTAATCTGACTGACAGTCTGTGGCCTCCAGTGGTACCTCTGAAAGTGCATGGAAAAAGCCAAGATAGTCAAGAGGTACTGTTTTGGTTTTGTTATCCTCTAAGCTCTTTAAGACTTAATAATGTGTTCATTTTCTCATTTTAGCAACCAAAGGCCTGGTAGATCTTTATACAGATTATAAAGATTTTAAAATTACAGAATTTAAGAACAAAAGGGTATTGGTTCATCAGTTATGAACTGAAAAAGAGCTTTTCCATATGAATGCCACTTTGTTTTAGATTTTGCAAATGAATCATGCAAAGTATGACAGTCCTTTTCTTTTTCGCTAATATTGTGTGCTTTGAATATTTTCAATATATTGGTCTTGGTAAATGTTTGTCAGGAATATCTTTACAATTTATGCTGTGTTATTCTATGATGTAACACCGTTGACATGTCTGTAAATTTCAATAACAATAATAGCTGACAATGAATTTCTTTTTCCTCTTCTTACTCAAATTACAGGTTGTAGACATTTGAGGTAATGCGTGTTTGAAATGAGAACTGTATAATGTATTGAATACATTGAATACAGATAGGATGTAAATACTCAAGTGGCGTGATGTAATTAATGGAATACCGCAGGGTTCTGCATTAGCATAACACCTTAATTATATCAATGATGTAGTTAGTGGAGTACCGCAGGGATCTTTACTAGGACCACTGACCTTTTAATTATGTCAGTGATGTAATTAGTAGAGTATTGCTGGCATCTGTACTAGGACTGCTGCTCTTCTTAATTTATTTCAGTGATGTATATTCTAATATCGAGGGAAGTCCAGTCATGTTTGCAGACAATGCCAAAAGAGGAGAATTTGCAAACACTGTAAAAGCGGCAAAAAAAATGCCAATGCAATAAACTTCGAAACAGGGTAAAACACCTGGCAGATGAAGTATAACATAGTGCAGAGTATTACATTCAGGTTGCAAAAACATAACAAAAATATGACCTACAGTATAGATACAAAATGGGAAACACTGAGCATGAAGAGGTCAGTTGTCAAAAAGACTTAGGTGTTTCTGTTGGTACGCCGTTTATATATTCTAAACAATGAGGTAGCAATAAGAAAGGAAAACACAATGTTATTATATATAATTTAAATTGTAAAATTGTACATACAGTATATGTACTTAGTTCAGGTGGGTGGCTGCGTCAGCGTTCTCCAAGAAGGCTCCATAGCCGAAACGTTGTGTTTTCTTTTTGTTTTCTCCATGGAATAAACATATTACTTGTTCCTATATATATAGTTATATATATAAAGGCAAAGCCACATTTGGAATTTTCTGTACAGTTTTGGTGGTTGTCTTGTAGAATGGAGTAATTCGTTCAAATTAAGGTCTATGAAGTGTCTTTCTAGAATTTTTATATATTAAATCAATAGAAAATTTGGAAAAAATATTTTGTCACTCATCTCCAGTCCTAGCATACCATTTCACAGTTGATCCTCTCTCTTTTTAATTGTTATTAATATGACTGTTATTGTCATCTACAGTCATCTGAAATCCAAAAAGGTCCAATATTAATCTTCCATCTTGGCATACAATGAAGTGGGTGGTAAATATTTTGGAACTAGGCGAAAAATATCTTGCTTCTCAAACACTTGCAATCTCTTAATTTTATTGTTGATGTATGCTATTTTCTGATCTGAAGTAATAGCTATGCCAGTATCGGAACAACTCTGATGTTTATACATATTCTACTGGGTTGAAAAGAAAAGGAACTTACCTAGTGTTTTACCTAGTTAATGTTTGACTTTTCTTAAAATGCTGAAGCAAGCTTAGTGTTACCGTGAACAGCAACGCTACAGAATTTGTTCTTGTAGAGATGTGGAAGCGTCTTGACACGGACGTACTGTATCTTGCAGGACACTAGAAATCTCCCTTCCCCCAGTTTCTGTTATGTGCTTTCGGGCTGGAGAGAGGAGGGCGCTGTGGAGGTGATGCAGGAGGAGGCTGTGCCTGGATTGTACCTGCCTCCAGTAGTGCACACTCTCTGTGAGATTCTGCAGGTAATCCGCCCCCAGGCCTACAGATGTTCCACCTGCAGAGCACACACAAATTCCAAGTATTTAATATTGCAAGAAAAAATTACTGAATTACTGAAATTTCTGAACATGTTTTGATCTACCACTATTAACTAATTAACTAGATATTAATAAGAGTAAAGTAAACCAACACACTTAAATATGTAATGCACACAGTTTGTAATTCAAATAAAGGGAAATAAGTAACTGAAACAAAATAAACAAGGAAATAAGCAAGCTTAGTAACAAAAACAGTTTTTGCATATAACAGTTCAAATATTAAAAACTATTGGAAAAATAATTTCTTAATAAAAAGATGTTATATTCAGGGTTTAAAGGTACCCAATCACCTTACAGTACCTCTGAGAAGAGTGATTAAGGAATCCCAAATTCTAGAACGAGCTGACAATGGTAGTAAAAGAAATAGCTGTATTTCAAACAGAATTTGACTTAAAGTGTATCCTAGACAGAATGTAGACACTTTACAGAAAGAGTTTTGGGTACTTTAAACAAAAATGTCAAACCCTGTAGCAGAAGCAGATTCATAAGAGTTCTTCAAAATGCATTTTAAAAAAGATGCTAGAAACTAAATTAATTAAACAGGGAAGATGGCGTACTTTTCATTTCTTTACCAATTCTTATGCTCATGAAAAGAACGTCAAAACACCACACGTTGTGGACAACAGACACCATCGTGAAAAGTGATGCTCTTTTGAGTATTTTCTAATGTGACTTGAGCCCACTGAGATTCTTCCTGGCCACTTAGAGATTTTCACTTGTGCTTTTTATTCTGAATGCTCATGCTTCACCATGTCCACTCTAAACAGGCTCACTCTCAAGTCTGACCAGCAGTGCTAGAAGTGTTATTTGTAGTTCAGGTGTATACCTGTACATTATAAAAACCGGGAGGTGGATTTCATTAAGGACGGAGGAGTCCGGTGGTTTAAATCCACCCTCCTTGCCGGCGCTACTGGTTTCCTTGCTACGAGCTGGGGGGGGGGCTCCTGAGTGGTTCAACCAGTTCAACCAGTAATAATAATGATAATGTTTCTTTATTAGCCCTATACTATTTATTGCATTAGGAATTCGTCTTTTCGCATACCCCAGCTTTTCTCCATGGAGACACAGACACACAGACAGGGAGAGAAGCTTGGGGTCAGAGCGCAGGGTCTGCCATTGGACGGCGCCCCTGGAGCAGTTGGGGTTAAGGGCCTTGCTCAGGGGCCCAACGGAGTAGGATTCCTCTGCCGGCCGCGGGATTTGAACTGGCAACCTTCCAGTCACAGGCACAGATCCTTAGCCAGAGAGCCACTGCTCCGGCTTTCCCTCTGAACCATGTTAAACACTGTGGCCCACATGTAGCATGTTGGAGCTTTTGTCGCTTCGCCAGCCAGCTGTGCCTGGGATTCCCCAAGCAGTGGCATACGTCTGGCAGAGCGCTCTAGGCGGTGGTGTTAGGATAAGACCTTGCATGCCACCCTCTACTGGTTCAGACTGCAGGACACCGATTGTGGAGGCATTACATTGCACCTCTTTCACCGGTTCATCGACAAAGGTGTTCAGTTCTTCACAAAATATTAGTTTCTGCCCACTTGCAGCTGGGTGGGGGACGCATAGCTTGCCATCCCGGACACACCCAGAGAGGCCAGAGGGCTTCAGAGTACACGGGAAAGGAGAGCATTTTCAAAAACCTCCCCGAGGCGACCCCTCCAACCCTCCCCACGCCCCTCAGCACGACGCAGCTTTTTTGTGTGCTGCAGGGACACCTGCTACCTGCTACTTTTTCTTCTCTGAGTGTTGACGTGAGTCTCACTGGAAGAGCAGCTCCGGCAACTTCCTGGGCACCTGCAGGCTGCTGGTGCCGTCGGCAAGCGGTGCATTACGCTTCAGATCTGGCGCTGATTCTTCCTGAACGCATAGTAGAGCCCACAGTGTGTCAAAAGATAAATGGCTCTTGTGGCTGGCTGGATTAGAGAAGCACATCATCTTTCTCCCTAGTGACTCAGAAACAATTGGTGATGCCCAACACAGGTGTGCGTAATATAAAACACATAACATCAAATTTAAAAAAAGCCTCAGTGTGTCAAAACTGGAAAGCAATAGAAGGCTGTATATGAAAAAGAAAGTTGAGTTGTGGAATTCAGAAACTCCCTCTACCTGTACATGTAGAGCCCTTTGCGAACAATAAAGAAGCTCGGCTAAGTGAATTGAAACTGGGATTTGGATATTTCTACATGTTAAGATGGTAAATAAAATTGGCCAGGAACAATCAGGATTTTAAAATTGTACTTATGTCTGATTTGATCATAGAATTCAGTGTTTTGTGCTGAAAAAGAATGATCTTTCTGAGCTAGATACTTTTGAATTTCTAAGATTTCTAAGAATAAGATTTTTGTGCTTTTTGTCAGGGGTGTAGTTCTTGCAATAGCATGTACTGTAGCTTTTAGAGGCCAGCTGTATGTAAATATATTAAAAATACATTAAGTGCTTTGGACATTTGCAGGAAAATGAAATGTTATTTGTGTTAATGGGAATTTAATTGTTACAATATGTTGTTGTTTTTTTTTTTCAAATTTTAGCGTGTCCCTGATAACAACAGATGTACTTTCTCTGCCACTGTAATATACAAGAGACTGCAGGTAAGACATTTTTATTTTGTACCAGGAAGGCTTTTCTGTTAGAAACAGGGCACTTTCAGGTAGTAAGAACCGTGATAACTGAGTGGGAAAACCTGAAGACATGGTCTTTCCAGCAGTGGAATGCATATTGTGAGGAAAGTTTTAATATTTATTTTTTAAAATCAGGAATTGTTATTCCTGCCAGTAATTATTTTATCCTTTGTGAGAGCTGTACGAAAGCAATTTAACTTTTATGTTCTTATTAAAAATGTAAATATTTTTAACTTCAGGCATATATGAAAGATGATATGACAGTCTGTGAGTTGTTGGATCTGAAGTATGAAATCATATGCTTCCTGTGTAGTGGTAATGGTTGTATGGAAAAGAACATTCATTTCATTCTTGTGTTGGTGCAAACGGAGAATGTCCTGTTGATGCAGTGTGTGGACATTTCTGGAAACGTTTGGCTGAGTTACAAATTATTAGTAAGTTTGCAAGAGGATTTTTACTGCTTCCCCTACTTTTCCATTTCCTGAAATGACCAGACATTACTTCCATTAAAACAGGACAGGAGATAATATTTGTGTCTTATAGCCAATCGTGACTAGCCTGTAAGTCTTGGAAAAGTCGTGTGTGCGCACAAACTGTACATATTATACAAGAAACATTTAATATAATATATTACTTGTAAATAACACACAAACTGCAGTATATGTATGTAAAAAAACATGGGAGCGTAGCACCTTGAAAAATGTAATTTATTTAGAATCTTCCATTTCCAGCTAAGGTATCTGACCTGGACACCAAATTCCTGTTGTTTTATTTTGAATTTTTTGGTTGTTTCTGAAAGCTTGACAATTGTACAGAAATTGAAAGTGATCTCTTTGGAACGCGGTGTTCATTGGGGAGGATTCTGGAGCTGATGGCTAGTCAACATTTACCTTTATTTTGCAAAACAAGAAAGGAAGTGTGTGAACGAGTTTGCTGGGCTCCTTGGTGGAGGCGTGATGTTACATAGGGGGGTTCAAGCTGTTGATACTTTATCCCCACCAGTTATTATCACAGGCAGGCTTTACGGGTGTTCTTGGAAGGCTAGAATGATTTAGGAATAGTAAATTCTTAATTTTTCTTTGAAGTTTAAATCCAGCATTCACTCCCATTGTCAAATATGACTGAAGGCAGAAATCTGTTTTCTTCAGCAATTCAACTTTTTACCACTTTATCGTCTGTCACATTTTTCGGTAAACCTTTATTTGTTTGTGCACATTTGCTGCCTTTTTTTTTTTCGTGGACATCATGTTGGTCACATCAGGAAACGAGTAAATCTCTTCCATATGTGTGGATGTTTTTAAATGCCATTCTAACCAAAACCTGCTGCTGTTTGTCTTTGGTTCTATTCTTAATTCCTAATAGATTTTTTAAAAAGGAAAAAAAAAAAAAACACTCTCTTTCTCTCTGTGGAAAGCAGGCAGAGCTGTGGTCACTCTGATCTCCGCTCTGTGTTTGTGCTCGGACCGCCTGGCTGCTTGCGATATTGCCAGCAGCTTTTTCTTTCAGAACACGAGGGCCTGTGACAGAGACAGATGTGAGGGGAACTTTAAAGAGGAAGGGGGGGGGAGGCTGATAAGACCAAAACTCCAACACACAGTGGCATCAACACGCTGAGAATATGAGAGGAATTGTTCCTGCACCAGTTGGTACTGGTAGGGGTTGTTAAATCCATTGTTGACTGGGAGTCACTCTCAGATAGAAATCTCCTGCCCCCGTCTTTACAGACCATGTGCTTTGCTTTCAGCCCCCTTTTCTCTTGATTTAGTTTTTACAGCCTTCTCTACTCTCCCCACCCCACCCCGCCAAAAAATGCAAGATCCTGTCAGGAGAGGGGAAGAGTTTCAGGCTCAAGCAGTAAAGGTGCTCGTCCGGCGGGCGGGCTGAGCCCCCGAGGCCTGAGCCTGCTCGAGCCTGCGCCGCGGCACTGGCCAGGGGCGAGTGCACAGCTGTCAGAGCGCCACTGGGACACGGAGACTGGCCTTCGTTTCTAAAGCAAGAGCCGGAGGAGTTGCTCAAGTGTCTTGTTTCGCGTTCAAATCTAGCCCGAGTCTCCTCTTTCGGCTAAAAAGCGAAGTTTTTAGATTTTTGCTTTTTGGAACTGTGGAAAATCATTTGCTGTCGCTCCGGTGATGGAGCACCTCTTAGTACTTTGGCATGTGGCTTGCTAGGGTTTCCTCATTTTGGGTATTTTATGCTTTTTCTATAAAATCATATCCTTTGTATAGTTAAGGAATAGTAGCTTCATTCTTTTCCATAAGGTCCAGGTCACCTATTTTTTATTTGTTGTGTATATTAGTGCTCTGAATGAGAAGGAAGAAAGTATAACGTATTACCACATGTACTGGATTGTCAGGGTGCCTGCATTTTGTGATTTCATTATTCGGACAAAGTATAAGGGGTGTTTAATGCAGTATATGCATGTGAATGCGTTACTGAGCTGTGCTGTGGAATGAATTCACAGAGCCCAGATCTGGAGCAGAGCGATTTCTGGCTGTTCGTGACTGATGCCAGCCTGCAGTCTGATGTCGAAGACGGTCTTTGGTGTCGCAGAACGGTGCCGGTCTGTGTGACCACCTCTTGCGTGCTCGACTCTGCTTTGGTACAAGTGCTTAACAGTGACACTGCCTGCACGCTCACCTTTAAAGATGCTGTGAAAGAATGCGGTGAGTACGTTCAGAAGAGTTTTGACAGAGATTGTCCGTCTTCCCGCCTCAGGTAAAGTCTTAAAACTTTTGACGAATGTAAATTGGTTTTATAAGCATGTGTTTTCTGTGGAAGGGATTTCTGGGTTAGAAAGAATCATCATTGATGGATGCATTTCATACCGCAATAAAAGTCAAATGTAGACAGTAACTTGTAAAACCTACAATTTGCATCACAAAATAGATTAGATTTTCAGGTCTGCGCAGCATCATATTCTGCGATTCTGAACGAAGCGACAAAACCTCCTGTGAAGTGATGTGTCCTTATTACATTGTAAACAAGCAGGCTTGTGAATACATCTCTTTAAATCCAATAGAAATATTGCCCTTGATTTCAAGATGGTTTTGTCGACAAATACTGCTTACTCGTTAACTCTGTATACAGATCACTTTGGAACATTTCTGCGGTGAAATGTCTGCTGCACAACCTGTACTTATTTGCTCGTACGTCACATTACACTAGTCATTACAGGGACTAGTGAGCAGGAAGGGCCGCATCACATCACAATTCGTGGGAACTCAAATGTGAATTTGTGACAAAGTGGCAGCTTACAGTACTTGCACCAAGTTCACAATTTTGTGTTTAATTGGAAATTTGTCCATTTTTTCTATAACGTCAATGAATTTAATTTGTTATCAAGATTTAATAACTGGTTTCAGAAACTGGGACTGCAGTTCCCCTTTAACTAAGTGTTTTGTTTTGTATTCAGATCTGGTGGTGACTGTTATTATGTGCATCCATGCGTTCACTGACCGGGGGTCCGTGTTTTTTTTGCCAGATGCTATCTTGTGTGTGGAACGCACAGTGCTGCAGCTCGAGCCTCTGCCCCTTCTTGGGAGTGTTGATGGCACGGTGAGCCCAGGTCAACTGCCTGAACCAGTGAAACTGGATGAACTGGATCTGACAACTAAAGCCAACTCTCTGTGTGTGGTGAAAGGTTGGTCTGCGTTAGCACTGCAGGAATGACTATCCCCCCCCCCCACGCACATGAACACCAAAACGTCTCATTTCTATTTTTTTTCCCACATAGAAACCCGACTGTTATTCTGGCTGTGGCTTTTTTGTACTCATTGGTTTGCGAGGGATCTGCTTGCAGTCCCTGAAAAAAAGCCCATTGTCTTTCCTTGAGGTTACTCATTCCACAGTTTTCCCAAGCAACTTTTCTCCTCCTCCCACCCCTCCTTCTTCTCCCCCAGAGCCTTTTCTCCAGGCTCATCTGGCTCTGCACAGGGGGCAATGCCTTGCTTTTTGCACAGTGCAAGTGTTCCCTGAGCCACAGTCTGATGTGGTGATGCTGAGGAATTGAAGCTTGTTTGTACAGGAGTAGTATTATTGCCTCTGATTGACAGGACAATGGCAGACAGACATTCTAGAACTGAATATGTCACTTTCTGCTGAATTAATATGTGTTTTAGCCAATATTAATTGCTTTCAAAATTAATTGTTGGAACTACCCGTAAAAACCCTTCAAAGTACTTTATAAATTATCGACTTTGTCTTGACGAACTAATCTAAAGCAGCAGATTTTCCTTCAGGATGCAATGGTGAAGCATGCTTACTTAGGACAGGAAGTAAACTCTGCACACTATAATAGGCAGCTTTAATGGGGAAAGTGTAAGTATTGGGACAGAGAAGTGAAATATGTCATTTTTGCTATGTGCTATTTAAATTTGTATTTCAGCTCAAAAGATGAATATGAAGCAATTTCAGGTCAGCAGAAGTATTGGGTTCAAACTAACTTGAAGTAAATTAAGATAGTATATTATATACAATATACAATACAATATTTGGTCTCATACACTTTACTTGCAGCGACTGCTTCACATCTGCGACCCTTCAACACCTCCAGGCTCTTGATACCGTATGTTCCTTTGAGGTGCTTCTCCAGGCCTTAACTGCTGCCACTTTCAGATATTGGTTGCGTCTGGAGGTTTGTGACTTTAGTATCCGCTTCAAAAAGTAAAAGCAGCTCGATAGAATTCAAATCAAGAGGTTTATTTGGCCAGTTCAAGAGTTGCCACTTCTTCCCGCTGACCTCCTCGGGTAAGTGTACACCGTGTTTTGGGTCATCGTCTTGCTGCAGGGAGGATCGCCGCCCATTGAGTTTGGAGGCATTTTTTGGGGAACTGGGGCAGACAAGATGTTTCTCTACACTTTCTACTTCATTCTGCAGCTATCATGATTTTCAGCAATTAAAAACAGCGAGTGTGGTCCAAGGACAGCCATGCATGCCCAAGCCATGACGCTGTCCCCACCACGCTTCACACAGGGGTGGTTGTGCCTGACATCATTAGGATCACTCCTCTCTTTTCTCCACACTTCGATAAAGCTTTGTCTTCATCTCATTTGTCCATTAATTTGTGCGGCTCATATTTGTGTTTGTACGAATCTGGCCTCTCTGTTTTTAGTGCTGATGAGAGGTTTGCATCTTGCAGTGTAGCTTTCATAATTCTCCCTTTGAAGTCTTTTGCACATAACGGATTGGGATACTTCTACTCCTGCACTCTGCATATGGTCTACAATAGCTGAATATTATTTTAGGGTTTCTTTCAAAGCACTGGTGGATTTTCTTGGATGACTCGGTCTCTGCAGATTGTTTAATTCTCCAGTAATTTTTTCTTTTTCGGGAAATTCCTTATTATTGATTTTGAGAGGCGCAGTCTCTCTGCAGTGGTTCTAATCGGAATTTGCTCTCAACCTTACAATTGTTTTTTTTTTGCTTCTTCATCGTAGGGAACTCTCTAATTTTCATCTTGGTATGCCTTCTTACTCAAGAGGCAGGCCCAAAATGTGAACTCCCATGGCTGGAACCAAGGCAGTACATTCACAGACAGCTCTTTTGTGTTTTCACTGTTAATATAACATGGGACACCTGAGCAGTTGGAAACACCTTTCAGCCATTTTCCCCAATTCTTAGGCTCCCTTGCAAAGGGGGATTGAACAAACATTGTTCTAGCATGGCCAAACGTGTGTGTGTTTTAATACCTAAAAATAAAACCTGAAATTCTGTACTTTTGCCTCATATTAATCTCTTAATCTGTAATACCAATTTCACACAATTTCACTTCACTGTCCAATTAATTACACTTTTCACTGTAGTTGCATTTTGACATTCAACTGGTAAGTAATACTGTATATCCCAAAATGGACCAAGTAGAACAGTACCAGCTTGATTTAATGTTATAAATACTGTATATATGCACATTTATTCAGAATAGGGGGGTGTTAGTAATCATTGAATTCCTACACTCAAAAAATGTATTTGAACAATACAGAATTGTATTGTTGACAATTGAGGTACTTCATATGGGTTTCTTATTATTTGTGACTTTTTTATCATATTAAACAAGTTTTATCTTTTGGTATTTCTGTTTCAGTTCAGGGAAAATGTCTTGAGAGAACAGTGTCCTTGACTTGAAAAAATGGACTTGTGTTTGAATGAAACATTGTATTGATTGATGTCAACGTGATACAAACAAAGACTCTATCAGCAAAACAAGAATCTTTCTGATTTCACCCTACTTTTACTCACCCTTACAGAAGAATTTCTCTGTTTTTCTAATTCATTTTTACAGGAGTTGTGACGGCGGTTGATGAGAGCACAGCCTATTCTTGGCCTGCGTGCAGTTGGTGTGGAAATGAAAAGTTAAAACCATCGGATATGGAACAGTAAGAAGAATATTTTTTTAAACAAAATTTCAGCAACTGAAGACTAATGTATGTTCATTGTTTTCCTGTAGTTTCCAATGTTTCTATAAATTATTTTTGGTTTTTTTTCAAAAGCTTTGCTGTTATAATAAAAAGGCGGTCCTGTCCTTTGTCTTGGAGGTCCAAAAAGTTTTGATTCCAGCTCAGCTCTTTATTTAATTGATGCCTCAACTAAATCAAACTGTTGCTTGATCAGAACAATTGCAAGGTCTCTTTCTCCTCAAAAGCTCAGAGGTTTGTGCTACTGATGAAACACATTTTCACAGTTTGTGTAAGAGCTGAACACAATCAAACAGTTCAGATTCAGCCTATTGCTAATTCATTTAGGGGTTTGAAAGTGTACCTGAGAGCCTGGCAGGAACAACAACCTGTAGTTATGTGGGTCTCTGGGAATCCCTGATTTAGAATGACACTTGTCACACCAGGACAGGGCTTGACACCAGCCAGCTATCCAGACACAAGTCTGTTTATCCTGTGAGCTCCACAGTGCCCTGCAAGAGAGCAGCATTCTGCTCTCAATCTTAACCATCCCGTAACCTCCGAAGGAACAATCGGAGTCATCCGTTTCTCTATAAGGATGGACTGTTGCTGAAATGTGAATATACAGTACTAGCATTATTTAACAACAACTGACTGATGCCAGACTCAGATAGTAGGAACTTTTTTCTCATACAGTACATCATATCGTCATTGGAGTTTAAATGTACTATATTGCCTTCCATCTAACGTGCTTGCTGAAGTGAAGCTCACATCTTATTTGAAAAAAATGTAAAATATTTCTTAAATATGCAGGCTGTTAAAATTACAAATGCTTAAATAAACTCTTTTTCATGAGTCCGTCTGAAGGTTTCTGTTATGTATTTCAAAATAATAAAAATAAAAACTTTTGCGGCAATTTCACGTTTTTTTACATTTGTTTAGTGTCTTTATTTAGAACATTTGAATCAAACATATAATGTTATCAATATTTTTTATTTGAAAATGCAAAACTGATTTTATATTGGATAATGTTTTTGTTTTAATCAAAAGCGGATGCTGTGTTTCACTTTGGTCAGTTGAAACAGAGTGTTAACCCCATTTTTAGTTCCAGGAAATGGTTCTTTTTGCACTTACAGTGTGTGATCTTGTGACCCATCATTTTCCCACCGAATAAATAAACAAGTAAAAAAGATATCAAATAGTAATCATTTCAGAGTGCTGCTCGGAATTCTCTAATTTAAAATGAATTGTTGTCAGAGAGAACTTGGTGAATACCAGCACATTTCCAGGTAGCGAAAATAGAGATTAATTCCTCTACGACATAACGAAAAGACAAATTAAAGATCACGTTACTACTGTCTGGCTGTGGTAAATTTGACTTTACAAGTGAGCTATTCCAAAGGTGACGTTATTAAGCCTTATTTTAATATCACAGAATTCCGTCAAGATGTAAATTGGTCATTTTGTTTGTTGTTCGTGGATAAATTTGAGTTAATCACAGGATATGCAAAAAATTGTGCTTTTACTAAACCCAGACTTTTCGCCATATGGAATTAAAAAAATATGTGGGTTTTGCACGCTAGGATACGAGCTGGATGTTGTGTCTTTCTGATGAATTAATGTAAGTAATCATTCCGTTTGTATTTTCTCAGGCAAACAGTTTACTGTGATCTTTGTCGAACCACAGTGGAGAGACCTGCCATGAGAATGCACCTTGAAGTCTTCCTACACTGTGCTTCACACAGCCAGTGGACCGTAAAAATTAAGGTAAAAAAAAAGTTCTTGTGCATATTCCAGCATCCGAGGTAAAGAAATATCAAGAGCTGAAGGGTCTTGCTTAATGATTAATTTTAGCCATCAGGTTTAAGTGCAGATGTATTAAGAAATTATGCTGCCTTATTGTTCTCTTAATTTAAAAAATGAAGATGTGTTTCTTGAAATGTTATAGATAAAAGCAGAGTTGAATCTGTGTTGAAAACTAGAAAGAAAGAAGTAAAAATGCAAAGTTGTTGTCAGAATTCCCTGAAGCTGAAACGTTTAATTACAGAAACCAAAACCAGTGGATGACTGTTTCTGTGACCCCAGTGACATTTCTTTAATGGGTTTCTAAAATGTGGCTTAGTTATTGCGTTCCATTGTTTAGACAGATAGGATTTTAGAAAATTCCACAAAACTGCATGTTATAATACTCAGATAAGTGGACATTAAGACTTTCCTAAATTATAATTTAAATTAATTACCATTTAAAAAATAATAATTTTTAATACTATAATGAAACATTTTATTACATCTGACAAATCATTTTGAGCATTTAATCATTTTAAATTTACATTTACGATTGCTAAACTAATATGACATTGTACAGATGATGGTCTATGCATATTAATCAATATTTCCTTTACTGATGTGCATTCAGTCTTTGCATGTAGAATGACATGCTATGAATTAAAAGTTTATGATTGTAAATGTTTTTCAAATAGTGAAAAGTTTACAAATGTTTGATTGTTATAAGTGTATACTACCTTTGTTTTGTTTAAGTCTTGGGGGTCCACAGACCTGTTGTTTTGTGTTTCAGCCAAGTTCTCAGTGACACAATTGAACCTTTAATTCATTATATTAATGATGATTAATCTGAACTAATCATTGAAGTAAAATAAAATTCCGAACCTTTGAGGAGCAGTGGGAAAAGAGCAAAATACTTTTTTCAATTCCTTCTGGAATTTTATCTTTAATGTAATTAAAAAATAAAGCACATTTTGTACATTTTGAACAGAAGCTTTTGAAAGCTGTCCTGCACATCCATTAACCTGATCACTGGGACAGTTTGATTTCAGTCAACTGTTTTCCTTGCAAATGTGGAATTAAGAAAGATACATTTCTTTGTAGTATGGTATGTGTTGCATTAATGGATCTTGGATTTTATGCTATCTTTGCATAGGAAGTATCACCTTTAATAGCATTTATAATGGGAATTTGCATGCACTGTTCTTGACATCTGCACTGAGTTTTCTGAGCAGTCTCTGTAAGCAGATACACTGTTTATAAGAACCAGTTCAAAGAAAATTACCTTAGTTTCTCAAATTATGTTGCACTAGCAATCAAGGGCGACTTGTGTTCTGCGGGTGCTCCACTTTGTGTGTACTTTTAATGAGTATTTGTGTATAAGAAATCAAACCACTCTACATGAGCCCTGCAAAGCTGTCCAGCAGTGTTTCAAACTGAACTAGAAGAGGGGAGATGCATTTAACACTGTGAATAGGAGGCCCTTCCTTCTAGAAAGAGCTATTGGAGTCTGAACGAGGTACCCAGGAATCCTGCAAGAAAGAGCTGTACTTGCTACTTGCTACTATTATCAAACGAGCTAAACGGAGAGGATACCATCCCTTCATTATAAGTTCTCTTGTGTCCTAAGTGTGTACATTTTTAAATGTTTGATTTTATTAATGTCTTTAATTGGTAACACTTGCAATTCATTGTAGACAGTGAAAAGAATGGCGTGGTAAATTGCGAAGAATTCTTTAAAAAATTTGTGTCATATATCTTCACAAAATCTGCGGAATTAAGTGTAAGTCCTACAATAGTAGTGGTGCTTGTACTATATCAGTATATCTGTTTGTTTTGATCTGTGGCCGCTTGGTCAGAATTTCATGTTCCAGTATGATGATAACCCCAGAAGCGTTCAGTAATTTTGTACTGGATTTTTAGTTTTATCTATCTAAGATGGTTTTCAAAAAAATGTTGTAAATGAAGATTTGGATTGGGAGAATAAATACATTCTGTATTTGGAGGTGTTGAATTTGCACACTGCTGCTTTTTGAGGTGCAAAAACCTAAAAAATTGCAGAGCCTTAGGGAAAGTAGGCTACTTTTTATGAGAACTTTATTAACGTTATGTGAAGTGTTAACCAAAACTGTAGAAAAAAAGTAACTTTACCTTAAATGAAGTTCCTCTGTCAGTATTCTGACAGAGCTGTTGAACAGTAGTGTGACATCTCATCTGAAATCTCATCTCAAGATGAAAATATTTTTCTAAGCTAAAATCTGCTGTCAGTACGCTTACTGCTTTGCTGCAGTGTGTTCTTTGAACTGGTTCTAGTTTTAGTTTGGTATACATTTTGATTTTGAATACCTTTGCATTGTGTGGGTTTTCAGAATGCCACAAATGTTCACCCCTCCAATAGTTAACACTGTCTTCTTAGTAAGGTTGAGCTGCACATCAAAGCTGTAGACAGGAAGGATCTCAACCGTTAATCGGCGAGTATTTAGCAATTAATAAGAATTCAGTTGTATTGTTTTTATTTAGCAGTAGAATTTATCCTATATTGGGCTGATAAAATGATTATGGTGCCTTTGGACTGGATTTTAAGTGTATTTCTATGGTAGAAATAAATACACTCTGGAATAAGCTTGAAAGCATATTGTAAGTCAGATGAACAAATTATTATTAAACACTTGACTACAGTAAATGGGGAGGGATAACTAGCATTAAAGCAGACTGTTATTTTAACAGTTTGAAATGTAATCTTGAATCAAAGCGGAGACAGTTGTACTGCTTTGACTTTGTGGAAGTAACGTGTGTGAGAATACAACACAGTTGATGTGCGTTGTACACAGATGCACATATGAATACAGCAAGGAGTAGGTTAGGTTCAAAATAAAAGCTTGCTGTTATAAATGTGTGCTTATTTTTTTTTGTATTGTATTCCTTTTAATTCATCAGTGTTGATTTATTCACCTTAAGTTTTGCTGCATACAGATATGTCATAATGACTTGATTCTCTTGTAAACACCCATACATATATAAGTCCCATGTTACTTGTTTGGTTTAACAGCAAAAGTTCATCTAAACGTCTAGCTAGGGATTGGGTCTCAAATGCCTGGTTTAGAAATCTGTAATGCATTCACACCCGCTTTAAGCATACAGAAGCATTTCCTATTCTCTGTCCTAATTGAATTCCCTTTTTTGGCTTCCAATTGTAAGTGGAAGAATCTACATTAACATCCACATACAGTACCTTTTGTGTGCAGCTTCATGCACCTTAGAAATCCCATGCTATATGTATAGTGCTTGTTCACACAATCTTTTGAAATCACTTAGCATTTAACAATGGTAAGTTTGATTTGTCAAGTTTCTACTCAATCTCCTAGGACCTTGTCTTAGTCTTTTTTGTAATTTCCTTTGTGCTTGGTCGGTTTCTCCCTAATTTTTTGTCATGTGAAAATTTAACTAACCTGGTAATGAAAGAGCAGTGTGCCTAAAACAGATCCCTGTGGCATACCACTGCTTCAGTCTGCTCAATTCTACGTTGCACCCTTAATACGATTTATTCTTTCCTGTTTGTTAACTAGTTGTAAGTTCTTGTGCAGACATTACTTTGGTTCCCTGTTGTTTTACATTTGAGAATCAACCCCTTATGAGAGACCTTATGAAAAGCTTACTGGAAATTGAAATGTACCATTTAAATTGCTGTTTGTACAAAGACTTTTTGCATAATAAACAAGACCTGTACCTTCCAAAGCCATGTTTCCTGATTCTTAAAGATGCTGTTGTTTTCTGAGTATTCATCTAGTTAAACTCTAGAGTTCAGCTCATCTAGTTTAGCTCTAGGTAAGATTACAGAATACAGATTACATTTTGCAGATGTGAGACTCATTAGACTTTAGTTTGCTGTTGTTTTTCGTTTCCAGTTTTATGAATTGGTGCAACTTCTAGATTCTCCAATCTATGAGTATCAGCACCTCTTCTAAGTGAGTTTAAGTATACTAGCTTTGAATAGCTGTGAGTAACATTCCTCATTTCCTTTACATTTTAAAATCAAAGATGATTGTAGGGTTCATATAACGTTTTAAGATTTGAAAATACCATGAGGCTTTGTTGATTTCTTTTTTTTACCATCATAGCCCCTGTAGACCTTCAGTGTTAATGTTAAATTTGACCAATACTGCCCTGCTGAACCTTATTTTATAATGCAAAGCCCTCCATTAAGTATTCATAGATCATGTTTATTATGGTCCTATACTCTTGTAGTATTGAACAAATGTTTGGTATTATTTTTTAAATTTAAGCTCTCTCCTCCTGTGGGTTTTTGATTTAACATGCCAAAAACAAAGTGTTTGAGACGATATAAACTGCACATACCCAGTTGCTCTCTGAGCTTAGGCGATACACAGGCAGCCAGGCAGTTTCTGTCTCTGAAGTATTCTGTTCGCCATTCCCAACCCATCCCAACTTATAAAATAGATCAATAAAATGTCTTTAGCGTCTTTGTCTTAGCAAGTGTAATTTTTGGATTATTTGAACTTGGAATTCAGTTTTATTTTTTTTATTGAGTTATTCTGGTGACTCCATGGTAGAAACACCAAGGTACTGTATTGTATATGATAAACAGCATATTATTCAGCTAAAGTAAGCTTCCATTTTCTCTCTGTGTGATCTTTTTCTCAGCTTCTGCAAAAAACGATCGAATCCCTACTGAGGTCGGCTGATAGTGACAGCGAGGTAAGAGTGCCCATCAAACAGGCCTGGACTTTTAAGCAGGTCTTTGGTTTAAGGTTATTATTTACAACTAGAACAAGTTATTGGCTCTGAAAAATTAAAAAGTATTTTTTTAAATGGTTGAACGGAAGGTTTAACTAAAATTCTCAAAGGGGCTAACTAAAATCGAAGTTACAAAGTTTTAAACAGTATATGCTCCCTATTAAAAGCCCTTACTTTATCTTTAAATCGTGATAAAACTGATGTAAGCATCTTGAGTGTTTTTAATATACTGTAGACCCCAATGTTTCTTCCTAAATAAAGGGAAAAATGATGTTTTTTTGTTAAATTGTATTATGCTATAAAATCAGAACACTTTAACAAATATTTACTGTGGCTCCTACGGACAGTGATACTTTGCTGCATGTAGGGTTAGCACACATGCTATTGTTTACCTGTGATATGTAAGATTAATGTTTTTAACCCTACAAATTTCAGAAACAGTTGGAAAGGGCTGCAACACTGATTTCGTTTTTGTGAATGTTTTCCAGGTACCGCAGTGATAATCTGTCTAACCAACATAGAATTTATAGATTTAACAGGGATTTCACAGCACTTTGCTCCAGTATGCTCCTGATTTGCAGGACGATTATCAGATTCATGTCAAAGTAGACCCCATGTACATTTAGAAATGTTTTGTTCTTCATTTTAGCATTTTGGGGATTTAAATAGAGTTCTGTTTTGCAAGAGAAAAAGTGAAACATCTTTTGGCCTGGATCAACATGCTAAGTGGTGACATTATTGTGTTCTGTATTGAAAATAATAGGAAAAGGGTCTGTTTATGACAACTGATAAGTGATTGTTATTGAATTGGCAGCTTTAGCAGACCAATCCAACGTATTTAAAATGTACACTAGATATACAGTGCCTATAGAAAGTCTATACATCCTTACCAAAGTAACAAATTTTTGTGGCCTAACAGTCTGAAATCAAGACACAATATATCAGAATGTATTTTACCTTTATTTACACACTGTAAACTGAAACTAAAAATTCTCGAACATTGTAGTTTAGAGAGCCATAAGGAGTTCTGTGTCTTTTCATTTCATTGTGCTTTATGAATGTGTCGTGTAGGTGTATTGTAGTGGTTAAGAAATGAAGAATGACTGTAGGTAGAAGTAATTTTAAGTGTTCGAGCTATGAGAAGCATTCTAACACAGGTCTCTCCTGCTCTCACAGGAGCGTAGAGGAAGCCTTGCTTTGTAATGCCATGACTAGAATTCTTCAGAGATGTTGATTTTGTTTGTTTTTACCTCACAAAGTGAATTGAGAGATGAGCTGTGTGGACTTAACTCTCAGATATAGCTGTGTTACTCTAATCACTGGAACATTTTCCCCAGTTATCAGTGGTAGACTTCTCTTCTATGGTTACTGTGATAAGAAATATTGGCAGATATAAGGTGAAACTTATCTGATTAACCGTAACAATAATTAATCCACAAAGATTTCAGTTTTGTTAATCTTTACTATGAGTTGCTGGCTTTAATCTTTCCCATAATTATGTCTAAATCTGAGCAAGAACATTGACTCATGTGCTTGAATGGAGTTTATATCAAGAGAAGACTCACTGTGTGTATGCAAGTGTGTTTTATAAAAATAATATTTATGGACTTTAAGTAGTGATTGATTGCTTTTGGTATCAAGTTAATTCATTGATAATTAATGACAGACCATGATATACAGAGGTGACCTTGAGTGTTGCAGCATAAGTACTAAATTGCTTCATTATAGAGAGGGATGATTAGCCGCAGGTGATGTGGCCATTGAACCTCTTAAACGTCAAGCCTTGGGAAAATCAAAAAAAACTAAAACACATAGGAATCGATATGTCAGACTCATGGAAAAAAAGAATGCCTTTGTGCTTTCGGTATGATGGAAGATAGAGTAAGTCACCTCAGATGGCTTTTGTTTGCGGCTTTTCTCATGGAAGACATTCACCTGCTGACCCCACGTTGACTTCTGAACCCTCTTGATGAGAAATGCTAATCAGGCTTAGTAGATTTACCTCTGTCGTGTCTGTGCACCTGCTACAGAAAGATTATAATTTTCCTGGTAATTACTTCGTAAGTTAGCTGCAGGCCTCATGAGTACTTTTCTTTACTCACACTTGAAAATGGATGCTGATCAGTGCTTCGTTCAGCGAGCTGTGCTCATCTGCCATGTGAAAAATAATGCACATTGTTCTTTAGATCCATGAACAAGAGCATTCACCTCCCTGAGGTAATGATTCCAAAAGATTGATTGCCTGTTAAAGTTATGATTTAATATATATTGAACAGGATATTAATTGCGTATTTGCAGTATATGCTGAATTGTAATTTCCTTTGCAACATGCCAGTGTTAGGCTTACATAGTTAGGCTTCAATAATATGCTTACAAGTATGAAAATTAGATGTAATTGAAAAGATTAAAACACCAGCATCTGTGGCTTCTTCAGAGATCTTCTAAAGCTGGTGAATAATGTTAATAGCTCACAACTTGGCTGTTGATAATTAACTTTGAAGAGCTTGTATATGAGATAGCAGAAATAAACTGCATGGCAGTATTGGCACCATCAGTCTTTCCTTGGAACAGTGTGTTCAATGATCTTAGCTTAATAAATGCTAATATTTTATGTATAGATCAATGAAAATGGTAAATTTTATTGATTCCTTTTTCACCTTATTGAGTAGCAAATGTAGCTGTTCATTTAAAATGTGCATATTAGTTCAAACAAAATATAAATAATGAGCTACCACATCCCTATACTTAAACATTAACTCCTACAAGCAGCAATTTTAAGCCAATATGTGTGCTATCTGAATCTCCTTGCATAACGAAGACCTGGGACTTTCCGAAGGCCGTGCGCGTTGCTGTGAGGGTTTTAACTGGGCCCTGTGGTGTTGTTCCAGGGCTACAAGGTGGAGAGTGTGCTGGGGAAGGAGTTGGGCCCTCTCACTGGTTACGTTCGTATTGTCACAAAGAAACCGGCTGCCTGGATTGGACTGGAAGAAATTCGTTTCTGCGGAAGTGTGACAGAAAACCTGTGCTGAACCAAAGGCAGAACGTCTCAGAAGCTCAGAAATACCCTCCTATGGCTCCTAAGACTACCTCAGTGTTCATGTTTGGTCATTAAGTTTGTTTGCCAGTTTGATGGCACTTGGGTTTATAAAATATAAATGTAGCTTTGCAGGTGGTCCTGAAATAAAACCCATGCAGGATAAGCCACTGGATAAATTGAGGCTCTGCAGGTAAAAACATCCTGCTGTCTAGATGAGCACCGACCTCGCTCATATTCAGCCCCAGGAGAGGAGACATCAGCCCCGCTCATGGCTGTGCAGCGCAAAATGATCTTCAGATCACAGGCCCGCCAGACCAAGTTCCAGCTTGATTCCATGTTATGTGTTCGGACACTTAACTACTAACCCAAACATGTTGGTGGTTTCCTTTATTGTTAAGTTCTTATTAACTCTCCCACTAGATTAAATATTTGAAGTGGAATTGATAAACTTACATTCAATTAAGGGGCCAGTATATTGTGTCAGAGTTTAATCTGGAACGAAATTGGGGTTCAGATGTTGGCGGTTAAGGGGACCTGAATTGGAAAGCCCTGATGTAGTGCAATTTCGAATAGGTGTAAATAACTTTTTTTTTATATTCCATGAGAATTGTATTTCTTTAAAACATGGTTTGTAGCTTCAGCAAACAGTAGTATAAATAAAACATGTTTGTGTCTCTTCATGTTTGGTGTGTTTTAATTAAATGAATTAAACCTGGTTTTATAGCAGTAAACTCATAGGAACAATCTGTTAGCACAATTTGTTCATAACCTGCTGGCACAAGATGTGCCAGCAGATATATCACCCTTCAACTCACACCTGGCAACCTACTGAACCTCAGCAGGTGTGAATCTGGTCAGTACCTACTGTAGATGGGAAAAACTAAGGTTGCTGAACAGATGTTAATGGGGCCAGCAGGGGGCACTCACTCTGCAGTCTGTGTGGATCCTAATGCCCAGTGTAGTGACGACACTATACTGTAAAAGGGCACCGTCGTTCGAATGAGACCTATAAACTGAGGTCATGATTCTGTGTGATCATTAAAAATTCCAGGGTGTTTCTCGGAAAAAGTAGGGGTGTTACCCTGGTGTCCTGGACAAATTTCCCATTGGCCTTTACCAGTCATGGCCTCCTAATAATCCCCATCTCTGAACTGGCTCTGTTCTCCCCCCATAGCTGATGTGTAGTGAAAGTATGGTGCACTATGGCTGCTGTCACATCATCCAGGTGGGGCTGCACACTGGTGGTGGAGGGGAGTCCCCATTACCTGTAAAGTGCTTTGAGTGGAGTGTCCAGAAGGACATTATTCATTATTCCTCCTCTTCTCCAGTCTGTTTTCTCCAGATCAAAGAATGCCAATGTGCAGGCAGCAAGAATTTTGGAGCTGGGATTTGTCATTGGGTTTCATCTGGCAGCTGCTAGTTGTCAGTGTGTCTGCCAGCATCATGCGCTGAGCCTGTTCTTGGAGAATCTGTGGAGAGTAGGTCCATAACCCCTGAAAGAAATGCTCAGCTCACAAATTCAGCTCTCCTGTGAGCACTTTGAATGTTTACATCGTTCACAAAAATAAGCATCACTGTTAGTTTATTCTGACCATTAAACATCCATAATTTTAAGACTTGATAATATGCTAGCACTTTACTAAGAAATCTCCATATTATTCTCTTTATTGCTTTCCATCTTTATAGCATTTTGAATGATTTGCTGGCTCTGTGGAGAGAAATGTGAGTCTTGAAGTCAATAATGTTTAACTTAAATACTTAAACCACCCAGCTGGGTATTCTGTGCAAGACTACTGTATGTGTAGTTGAATGCTTCTTCTTTTTTGCAATGCACAGCAATGTGTAAACATTAATTTTGCTGTTTGTGGGTCTGTTGAATTGCATTTTGAGGTTTGGTTGTAGACGACTGAATGAATATTAAAGGTTACCCTAAAACTACACTGCAGTTTGTATACATTTTTCATAGTATGTACTTGCGAGAGGTATTGAATGCTCTACAAGAATTCTAAATCATAATTTTAATGCCATTTTAAACAGCATAATACAGTAACAATAACCCTGTTATCAAAGTAACATGGGATTGAATTGTATTGTTCAGTTGAAGTGGAAGTATTGTTTATTCCAGTTCTTCCAATGTACAGTACCCGGTTCTTTCAGAGTTTTAAACATGATTATTACCATCTGAGTCCTTGCACATGCTTCACAGCTTTTAAGTACCATTATTTTACTGAGGCCAACATTTCAGATCATACTTAATACTTTAGACAAGTAGCCTAACAGCATCGCATTTTTATATCCATTGTCTTCTAATCCATGAAGCTGTAAACTCCAGAAGTAATTTTTGAGAAAGTGTTTGAGGAAGATATCTGAAGTATTCATCCCTTCTCCCCTTTTCTCAGAAATGAAACTGTACCTTAGCTTCTGACTAAGGATAGTTTACAAGCCACTCATTCTTCTCTCATTAGTGTCAGGGCAACATTCATTCTTAAGAATTTTACACACTCCATCTCTAAACTGTACTTCTGCTAATTCAGAGTGAGAACCTCGGCTCACACAGCTTGCTGCAGAGACCTTATGACCTTTTGTTCTCTCGTATTTACAACCGAGAACAACTCTGTTGGTTTTTGCTGGCGAGGGCAGTCATTAACTCAGCTGTCACTTATTACCGCTCGCCCTAGTGGCACCACGCCCACAAGTCACCCATTCTTAATCCAGGAGTTGTTTCAAAAAGATTTTATTTTAAAAAATCCAAAATTATTTACAAGCTTTATATATATATAAAAAAATCAAACATGCTCAGGCTTTTTTTTTTGTATGCCAACAATACAAAGTTTGGAATTATAAAAATGTACCGTAACTGTAGAACTATTTTAATACATTTAAATGTATATAAAAACGTAAAATAACTTAATATAGAAAATAGTTCAGCTTCTTTATAAAAGGGACTATGGCAGTTTTATCACATTTCTGTATTTGAATTAAGATAGAAACATTCTGTAACCCTTTTTAACCCTTTAGATATATAGCTGGTTTGGTTTATCTGCTTACAGTACAGTTTTGCTACAGCTGGTTCGTTCAAATTCCTTTGCAGTCTCTTTGAGGTATCAGGTCTTTTTTTTTAAAAAAACAAAAAAGAAGTCCGTTAAACATTTTAGCAAGTTTGTTCTTGTCACCGACACTCGGCACTCGTGGAGCCCACGAAGGAGGAACTGGGAAGGTGCTTGAAGAAATTCCGGAGGCTGCTCAGCTCTCGGGTGAGCTGCTCGATGGTTTTGTGCAAGCGGTCATTCTCCGCGCCCAGCTCGATCATCTTCTGCTGCATTTCCAAATTGCGCTGCTTCGCTTTGTCCCGGCTCTTCCGCACGGCGATGTTGTTCTTCTCCCGCCTCTGGCGGTACTCCGGGCTGTACCTGTCGACAGCCTTTTTCCCCTTGTCCTTGCCGCTCTTTCGGGAGCCGGGGTGGACCGACGAGGGCTCCGGAGTGGTCGGCGGCGTGGGCTGCCCCGTGTGCAGGCTCACGGCGGTCTGCGCGCAGGTCTCGATCTGCGAGGGCAGGGACGAGGACATGTCGCTGTCACTCCAGTCCGACTCCTGTTTGATGGGGGCGCTGAACACCCTCTTCTGGAAGCTGCCATCCTGCTTGTCCACGAAGTCCTTCTGGCTGCCCACGCCGGCGGCAGGGGAGACGGAGGACGAGGAGGAGGAGGAGGAGACGTGCAGGTTGCCGGGCGCAGCGTTAGCGTGCAGGTAGTTGAAGTCCGCTTTCTCCTGCTTCACGCTGCTGTTGAAGAGGTCCGCGAAGAGCTCGTCGTTGTACAGCTCCAGGTTTGGCACGGAGGGCATGGAGTCGATGTAGGAGCTGAAGTCGATGGCACTCTCGTCGTCGTACATGGCCGGAGCGGTGCTGAGCTCCGCCAGGCTGCTCTCCTCGCCGCGGCCGGGCTTGCAGATCCCCTGAGCGGCGCTAACCTTACTGTCGTAGAAGTTGGCAGGCTCCATTGCCCAGTTCATTGGGCATGGTGGCGAGACGCACTGAGAATCCAGGCTGTATATCACACTCATGAACGTAGTTTTAACCTCGCTCTCTTGTCTGGACTTAAGTCGAGCGCTGACCTGTCTTTTTCTGGTTTGTTTTGCAACAAGTCCTCGCAAAATGGAAAGGTGCGCTCAATAAAAAAAAAAAAACCAACAAAGTCGTGCACTGACAAAAAAGTCACGCAATAAATGATCTACTTTGTTAACCCCCCCACCCCCTTTTTTAATTATAAGGGGGTTACACCTGTGCAGAAAACTGTCCAGGAAAAAGTTTTCCTCCTTGCTCAGCTGTAAGCAGTCCGTTCGGCGCCCTGCTTGCAGGCGGCGTGGGGTTTTAATTTCCAAGGTCAGAATCGCGCAGTCAGTCACAGGAGCGAGCGAGCCACGACCGACCAGCACTCTGCAGCACTTGTCACTTGTCTGAAACTTTCCAAGTGCGCACACAGTGTTTATCTGTCTCCCTGCCTGACGTCACGGCCTCACCTCCCTCCCCGGGGGAGCCGGCAGTGACCAGTTCCTATTTGAGGAGAGCGGGGTGGGCTCGCTCCTCCCCCCTGCCGGGGCAGCGCGGGGTCCGGCGCCGCTTCTCGCACTCCGGCGCTCGCTTCACGGCGAGCGGCTGGCTCGTTGTGGGGGTAGCCTTCTTTTTCACCTCCCTGAAAGGGAAACTTCTTTTTGCCACCTTTTTCCCAATTTGTTATGGCTTGTATAAGCCTAACGTTTTATCCTTTCTTCTGGCGCTGTGCAATTTCTCTACTTGCCCCAGGTCTTTCATGAAGGTAGTCTGGGCGACGTATAGTAATATTGCACGGTGCTGGAAGATTCGCCGGGGATTCTCGTTTTCACCTCGGCGCTTCTGGAGTTATGTCGAGTTTTGCTGACAGTACTTTTGAGTTCAGATGAGCCCCGCACAGCTGTCACGTTTAATAAAGCCATGCACTGCCCTTGTGAAAGTTTCATGTTCTCATCATACGAGCCTGTTTTCGGTTCTTAAAAAAGACCTTCATAATACACGGCATTTTTTTTTTTCATTTTATGTGCCCACTTGAATCGGGTATTGAGGACAGATGGCATCAGTCGTTTTCAGTGGTGAACCATTTCAATGGTTCAATTTTACTGCGTAACTGAAGCTTGGACTTGTACTCGTACTCGTCTACAGCGCTGTTAACAGCGCACGCAGAGGAACGTCCTTGCTGCGTTGTGTGTATGAAGTCATTTAAACAAATAAAATGCAAGAAATGTGAAGAAGACACAAGCCACACTGGACTTTAGGTAACCATCGCTGGTGCAAGTTGATTACAGTACTGGAGCCGCTCATGACTCGCCGAAATCTAAATGCAAAATTACTAGTAGCAATGAAATCGATTTATTCGATTTATTTATTCGATAATTCGCATTGTTTGTATACCCATCTGCGAATTATATTAACCTTTAGGGCTGCGTGCAATACATTTGGGATTTTGTTGCCTATTCAAATATTCATGATGCACGTACGTGTAGAAAATGTGCGCTTCGTGTTTTAAAAGGTAACACTCAAATCCACGCTTTTTCCATGTCTGAGGAAACGAAACGCTGTATTTTGGCATCGAAAGGCATTCTCTTGCGCCCTCTTGTGTTTCAAGAAGTAAAGAGCAATTGACAAGGGGGAAAATCGTCCAAGTGACTAATTTAAAAAGACTGAATACTTGTGAAATACCAATAAAATATATATAGCGATAGTTCAAAAGCAATTAAGTTACATCTTAACAAGTTGTCTGATTATGATATACATACAGCAATTTCTATATATATATTATTTTAAAATTGCATTAGATTAATGTGCAAATGTCTATTTTTTCTTGCATAATTTGTTTTCGTGTTGCGGAGGCGTTCCAGTTGAGCCTTTGGAGGAGTCAGTTGTTCCTTAAAGAGGTGCCTTTTAAATTAATAATTCCTTATATTGATATGCCATTTTCATCCCAAATGATCCTATAATGCTTTATGGGTGGAAGGGAATCCAGTCACACCAGGGAAGTACAAACCCACATGGGTTACAAGTTGAGGTGGAGAAATGAGACAGTAAAAGGGATTTTCAGGAAGGTCAGACTGTGCAAGCCCAGGGTGGAATTTAGACAGGACACCGGGATTAACTCTCATTAAAATATATTAATGGTTACAAACGAGAGGCGGCCATTTACCTCACCTAATTAGTTTTTGTTTAAATAGCTAATTGATCCGATCATCGCAATCCGTCATCTCTTGAAGGAAGTCAGGCTATTAGCCTCAACAACCCTCAACAACCCTCAACAACCCCCACAACCCTTTGTGTAAAGACGTGTCTCCTGTTCACAGTTTTCAGTGCTCCTCCCTATAGTTGTTACATGTGTCCTCTAATCTGTGTTTTATCATCGATTCTGAAGAATCATCGGGTTGACTTGCTTGATGCCTTCGAGGAATCTGAATATTTGAATCGGCTCCTCTTATAGTCTTCTGTGTTCAAAGCTATAATATTCCGTTTGTTTATCCTGCAAGTTCATTCCTTTGAGACAAGTGATCTGGTTTCTCTTTTCCGAACTGATTCAAAAGTGGCGGTATCTATTTTATTAAAAAGTGTTCTAGATGAAGAATTACTAGTAGATTGTGCAATTTCAATTTAATATCTCAATTCTAGACTTCTAACAACATATACTAACGTTTATTTGACATTTTATTGCTTTATTTGTTTGGAAGACACAGTACATGAACACGTAAATTGTCCTTTTATCCTCCTTCTTTAAGCACAAGTAGTGCGATTTATATTTCAAGTGAATGTTTTTCACGGCCTACATGCAACACCTTGTACTTCTCTACAATATCATCTGTCGTTTTTCCAAGCTCTGAATTTCTTATGAAGCTCTGAAACTCCTCTCATTTTTTTTTTGCAGCATCTAGTTTTTATCATCTTGTCTAGTTTACAGCTATGGCAGAATCTAGATCATAGGTTTAAATTAGAAAGAGCAGTGGTCCTAGTACAGATCCCAGTGGTTTTCCACTAATTGCATCACAATGATTTGTGCGTAAACCCCTCATCTGGACCGTTTCCTGTCCATTAACCAATTTGTAATGCAATTATCTTGAATGTCTGCAGCGTGCCATTTGAGAATTAATCATTTGTGAGGAATGTTATCAAAGCCTGAAAACTCGCACTATATTGTGTGCCCTGTCTGTACCCATCACTGCTTGTTGTTTGTTAAAAAAAAACACTATAGCAAGTTCGTTAAGCCCCTACTCTTAAGAACTCTGGGGGGTCTTTAGTGAGCAAGCAGGTAGGACCCAGTTTAATCCCAGTCATGCACGGGGCAGCACCTCCTTAAGCTCTGTCTGTTGTCACCGTATAGGGGTTCTGTTTTAGAAATCCTGGCACATATAGAAGAGAGAACCCCCTATTTGTCCATTTGTCTTGTGAAATTTTCTTATTTATTGTTGTAGTCTTCTTATTTATTGTTATTGTCATCCTGTAAAGCGCTTTGAGAAGCCACCTTTAAAGGCGCTATATAAAATAAAGTTTATTATTATTATTATTATCAAAAGGCTGCACAGTGGTAACTCTACAGTTTTAGTGACCAGTTATTTGAATCAACACCATAATAAGCTAGATGAGGTTAAAAGTACCTAACCGTTCCTCAGGAAATCCCGAAATTGCCTGAGAAAAAAGTGTGCCAGTCTATTGTGTGTTTTTTTTCCAAGCGGGTTCGTTTTTCACCTATTTACATCCCATTCAATATTACAGCCCCTAGTGTCACTAAATGACATCATCAGTCTCACATTACAGGTAAGCATTTGTATTCACCTGATGTGAACTCAATCAAATCAATTCTGGTTTCATCTTGGTTTTCTTCCTCTAGCGCTATTGCATTGACTTCAAAAGAGAAATGACAGTGCACAGGAAGAGAGAAATCTGGTGTCAAAAGAAAGTTACTGAGAACTTATATGCCTGGACCGTAAACTGAGGCTGCTGACCCGCCTAAATTCATGCACTTCCATTTTCAATGAGAACAATTGAATGACCACCTACATTAAAGAAACGAGAGACATAATTGTACCCTGTGTCTGACCCACATTTCAAGTGTAGATGAGGGAAACTGCCTTTTTTTTTTGGTCACTGCAAAGTGACTTTAAAGAAAAGCACAAAAAAAAGACAAGGCCTCAAGGCTAAATAAATCAATAATCCAAAACAAGTCACCGCCGAAGAATTCAACAGTGAGCTGAAGAATTTTCATGAGGGGGTCTTTGATTTCCGCAAGCCTGTGGAGCAGGCCTGCAGGTTATGTAACAGCCCCTCTGGGTGAGGGGCGCTGCAGCCTTAGTACAGTGAGGGGTGGGCTCTGTCTTTCACCAATAGAGCAGGGAGGTGTGGTGTCCCAGATGAGCTTACCAGACTCACAGAAACTGCGGGAAACTTTCCAGAGAAGTAAACAAGGCCCTTCAGCAGCTGACGGCGCAGTTTTGCTGAGTAATCTTAAAGGCAGAGCGCTTTCCAATTGCTGTCACAAACCAGTCTCAGCAAGGGGTGGACGTGGGCATGCGTGCGCAAGCAGCTCTGCCAGATTAAAATGAGCACCAGGTTGTTGTTTTTTTACAGTGTTTTCCCCAGCAAAGAATGTCCATTTGCTTTCAGCCTGACACGGGTACAGGACACGTCGTCTGTACAATCCCAAACTGTCAGACGTGTGAATGTCTCCAGCTGATGTTTGACGTTTCTTGTCAGATTTTTAGTTGCCTCGGTCTCACCAACAGCATTGTTCACCGCTAAATACTGCTCATCAGATGAGATGTCACTCTTCGCTTGCATGTTTTTTTTTTAGAAGACAAATACACACATTCTTGTGTAACAATAAATTCATTTTGATGAATTGGTCTATAATGGATGGCCATAATACTGGAGTGACTGTTGCCCACCTCATTTAGTGAGAGTGATTGGACACGGGTGATAAGGTGACAGGCTCAGGTCAAGCCAGCTGAAAATCAGGAAAGGAACTAATATTGAATCAATGTACACAGAATATTACCTTCATGCCACCACGCAGTTTGAGGCTGGAATATGTTGCTGGACTCATCTGCACTGGGACCTAGTCGTGTTCTGCGATGATGACCACCTTGATGCAGGCCCACTCTGCTGGCCCTCTGTGAGGGCGGCACAGATGTGCAGAATGACTTTTTTCTGTGGCAAACCTACATTAATCTACAACAGCGGGAGGCGCTACTGCTGTAATTTAATGCTTGGTTGTGTTGAAATGTATTTAATTCATACTATATGCTTTTAACTACTAAGTAAAACAGTCTTGTGAAAATCAGAATGACCTTTACCAGGCCTAATTAAGCATACAACCCATTTTGTGTTGCTGATGTACAGTTATTACTTATGTCGTGTCTAGTGGGCCAGTCATTGGGCCAGTACAAGTGTGATGGACCGGGCGGGAGTGCCGAGATCCTACACAAGTGCACTTGAGTGAGGAGCACAGTAGTGATCACGACCAGCAAACGCACGCTGCACATCACTGCAGATTCATACCGACAGGACAGCATTCAAGCAGAGCACATGGCCTTGTGCTGCTCATGCAGTGGCAGCCTGCTAGGGTAGGGGAATACTGGCCTGCGTCTTGTCCTGTAGGTCAAATCCTCATCAGGACAAGGGGTGTGCCTGTGTAATTTTGATAGTACCCTGTACAAAAAGATTGCCCTTTCCCGATGCCTTTGTTGTCGTTTGAAGACCTTTTGAGAAATGGCATGATGAGGCTCTTTATGGAAGAGGTACGTCTATAAAAATTCTGATGGGTAAAACCCCCATCTTATGTTTGCAAACGTAATGTTGTTCCTCATGTGTTCTGTGTCTTTATGCCTTTGAAGAATGTAAACTTTCCATCTCTGATGAAGACCTCAAGAAAATCACTCCAGAACACTGCTACAGGTTTGCAGCTGAGATCGGGCCTCCACACGTGTCATTACTCCTGAAGGTTTTCCCATAATGCATCGTGTAGTGGTCCATGTTTTTCTGCTAGAGAAGTGTAATTACAAAGACAGACGTAAGAGGAAAGACTTGCAGGAAACTGAAGGGTTCTTTTTACACAATTTGATGAATGTTGGGTTTAGTACAAAGCGTCTTTAGTACTTCATCTAGTACAAAGAGTAACACGCATCCCAGAAAGTCCCGATTAAGTGAAATACTGTATGTAGGACTAGAATGGGGAGGTAACAACTTCATGACTTCTGAAACACATAAGTAGTTCTTAATTCACTTTCTTTAATCTCTGTATTGTCGCTGTGAATTCAAAAGTATGACCAGACAACCCCCCTAATTTAGCAAGCTATCACAGTATGAACCATCTGTTCAAGGATTTCAAAATCTCTTAAAAGGGGAAGGAGATTAATGGCATTTAAACTTTCAGCTTACCAACTGACGTCTAATGATGTTGCAATTTAAAAGACCAGGACTGCCTCTAAGCAAGCAATAATATTTTGTTTATTCAGCAGAATAGAATAACCGTGATTTATTATTTTTTAAATTAGAAGCCCAAACCTGTCTAAGTGGACAGGAAACCATTCCTGCTAGCAACATTTTGATGAAAATGACAGGCGTAGAAAAAATAAAGATTACGAATGTCTTTTAGAAAAAGAATTTATTTAATTAGTAGTACTCCAACAAAGAATAACTTTTACAGTGATTTAAACACAAGAAAATTGACATTTCAAGACATCATTTCTATGACACCACTGATATATTTATTTTGTGAGGGCATGACATGTTACCTATCAAAACATTTTGAAGAAACATCCTGTCTGACACGAAATGGTAAAACTGTTGCTTGGAAGCAGTAGCAAAGAAAGTGAACAACATTCTCTGCAAAACTGGACTGTTACACAGTGTCATTTTAGTGCCTGCCAATTGTAAAAAAAAAACCAATCAATCTTCTGGGTAATCCCGTTACATCACAAAGAAAACTAACAAGTTAGCTACTTGTCACATACCCTTTATTTCTTCATACAAAATGTGTATTGATGGCAACATCAAAGGTAAACAAGAGGAAAATGAAAAGATGATCGTCAAGGGCTCCACCCTCATGCTCTTGACAGTGTACAGTCCTCATTTTAAAGGCACTATCACATCTCTGCCTTTTATTGTATGTCATGTGTCAGTTTATAAGGTACAACATTTCTGTGTGTATTAGGCACAAATATTTGAACGACGCAACTACATTCTAGACTATTACAGAACAACAAGGTACTAAGCGTTACTCCTGCTGGATTCTTCTGCAGCAGACGGAGGGTTGGAGCTGGGCTTCTCCGTGTTATATCCAGGGCTCCCAGCCCATGTAGACTCTGCCCAGGATGTTGGGGTCGGTGGCCTGATCTAGGAGGCACTCGACCTGGATCTCGACCGCCAGGCCCTCTGCCGCCTGCGACGCACGGACATTGACGCCCTGCTCTCCCTGGGCCATGGCTAACGCGGCCCTGCACCAGGACTCCTTCTCAAAGCCCAGCTTCAGCTCATCGCTGCAATGAGGGACAAAACAAACCGAGGGCAAAGCTGGGTCAGCTTCAGCCATTAGACAACAGGGCCTGAAAGCAGCAAAGGGGCATGCCCAGATACGGCGAAGGCCTGCCTGCAGTCTGCTGTTACAAAAAGCATCTTCTGGAGCTCCGGATGTAATTTGGATGTAACTTTTTTTAGATTGTTAATCTCAATCTGCATACGTGATACACACATCACAGAAACTGATGGGGTAACTCCTATTGGTTATGCCGTTATATTAATTTTCTCATCTAGACTACAGTGTGGATTTTTTTCCTGTCTCCGACATAGATTAACCTACAACACTGGGAGGTGCTACTGCTTTAACTTAAATCACAGTTGTGTTGAAATGTATTTTATTCATACTATATGCTTTTAACAACTATGTAACACAGCCTTGTGAAACTCAGAAGACAGAAGGACCTTTATCAGGCCAAATCAAACACACAACCCATTTTGTGTGGCTAATAGTTGTAGTGGTATTAATGTAATTGATGCAGGCAGTATTAATACGAATTTAGAATTAACAATATTAATATCCTCATGTCTAAAATCAGAGGGGTGTAAACATTAAGAACTTGATATGCAGTTACTTCAATACCTACACTGACACACTGAAGGAAAGAAAATGTTCTGGTCTTGAACGGAGAAGACTACTGGAGACTTGATCCAATTATTTAAAAATCTGAAAGGCACTGACAGAACCAAGCCAATGGATTTCTTCAGAATGACCAGTGAATCAAGAGAACAGATTGCACAAGTAAAACTACATAGAAAGTGTGCTTAAACCTGAGATAAGGGGACTACTTCTTTAGCAAAAGGTTTAGTTGGAATTTGAACCCAGCTATATAGCCATGATGTTGAGGCTCATATGCTGGCCTCCTTCAAGAAATGACTAGATGTCAGAGAACAGGTCTGTTGGCTTGACAGGCATGCACGTTAAGTCAACATCACAATGTCTTTTATTTAATTGGAAAACTCCATCTTTCTTGTCATTTGCTGTTCAACGAGCACCCTCTCTGTATAATGGTGGACATAACGGACCTCATACTTAAGATGTGGAGTTATGGCAGAAGCAGAGTGCTGATCCTGGGAAGATCTGCTGAGATGCAACACAGGTCGTGGCAGTACCTGGTTATGGCAGCAGGATTTGCTCCTTCCAGCTTCCTTTGGGCAAACTGGACCTTCTGCCTGGGGTACCAGTCGATCTCTTTGGTGTTCACAGTCTCCTTCCAGGTGCCTCCTTTCTTCAGCTGTTTTAGCTCAAAGTTCTGGAAACAAAGCAGTTAACTGCACCTCTGTTGACTCCCTGTTGTCATGCACAGCAGACACAAGGGACGCAAGTGAGCAAATCCATTTAAAACCTGTCAAGGTAGCTGGGTTACTAGAGTAAGGGCAATGCAATCACTGTAATGTATTACTGACGCTGCATGTGAAGCGAGTTGTATAAAGGAAGCATGGGAATACAGAAATAAATGTGTTATTTCTGATAGCACTATGTGTCACAAGGGACCAAACACAAAACTTTCAATGACTATTATATACTTAAACCGAATAAGCACATTTCAACTGGCCTCTATTCAAGTATTTGCGTAGCGATAAGAGGATCCGGGAACCAAAGTCAGTCCTTAACTGTTCTAATCTTTCAGCCTTGTAACTGGACTTGAATCATAGCTCCAGTGTTATTCCTCCAAGTTTGGCCTTTTTTCTAGTGCATGTCGGGTGTATCAATTTGCAACAAGTTTTGTTATTTTCTTGTAGATAAGACGAACGGTGCTTTTCAATTTGCAACACACTGCTGCCGCCTCAAGCCTTCCAAGCCACACCAGACGATTATAAAATAATCACCAATATGAAAAGAGCGTGTAACCTGCAGGGATGAGCTTAACCTCTCTTTACCTTCCAGTCTAAAGACGGCTCCTTCACGAAGACGTCCATAGTGTTGAGCAGAAGATCTGGTTCCGCCCGGTACGCCCGTAGAGCGTGAGCCATGACGCTGGAGATCAGGCCCGACACCCCCATGGGGAGCATGAGATTCAGGAACTGGCGTGTGAAGCGGAACGGCATGAGCTCGGGCACTGTCAGAAACTGTGTGGACAAGCACTGGTCAGCTGCAGTCACGGTGCCTCTTATATATGCCATTATAACAATCGGGACACTACTTAGCCTCTTTATGCACAGATGCACCAAAAAATACCCAGAATGCACTGGTTCAAATCCTGCCATTACTGGAGCAAACACTGAATTCATCCACAGTAACTCCATAACAAGAAGTCTGAATTCAGAGGAAAACAGCTGCAACCATTGCTCAACAGCTTAAGCGTCTCTGATGGTTTGCATGCAGAGGTGACCACAAAAGGACAAACTATTGAAAAACAGCACAAGAGTTTTCATCAGTAACACAGCTATGGTATTAATGCCCTTGGAACAGATGTTTCATAAAACAAAACCAGGCTTTAGAGAGGCTTTAACAATGCCCCAAAAGAGTGTAGCATCTAACAGCATTTGCTGCATTTTGAATGCCTTTCAGTATAAGCCATTACTGCCAATGGACCTAATTAATACATAAATTACTGCTTCATTTGCAACTATTTCAAGGTTCAGATATAACTTATTGGGGATTCAATGTACACTGTAATTCAAAGTAATTCTCAGCTACTGTACATGTAAGCTTTCTAAGGAAGGCTCTAGTTAGAGGGCACGCCCATTTTATTTTGTCACATTTCAACAACATTCTTCTCACAATGGGCCTATTCCGTTCCTAATCTTGGTCCAGTCCCAGGCTGTGTTCCGTGTCCCACCGCCCGTCATCAAAAACGCACCTGTGTTGCGGAACCGAAGGCGTGTCCGAAGTCAATGCCCACCATGCCTCCCGTCTCCATGTTTACCATGAAGTTGGAGAGGTGGCGGTCGCCGATGCCCAGAATCCAGTGGCTGACGCATATGAGCGCGTGGGTGCTGGCGAAGTGGCTGCGCAGAGACAGGAAGGACTCGGGGGTGGTGCTCAGCTGTATGAAGGCTCTCCTGAACACAGGGACAGGTGGCAACATGAGGGACAGGAGATGATCTGAGCCAGTTAGAGCAGATCACAAGTCGCTCTACTGGACTTGAAGATCATTCAAACCGCAGAGATTAAAGCCTTCAAGCACAGAGCATCATGAGCTCATTTCCACACTTTTGGCTTGGGACTGGTGTGTGTTCTGCCAGCCGTGAGTAGTGGGCTAAGACGACTATATAGTGCATATCGGGATCAGGCTACAATGCTATGCCGAAACTGATACCTTGGCTTCTTTCAAGGAACAGATGGATGAGTTCCTTAGATCAGTTTGTTATCAACAAGCAAACAAGGCTGGATGAGATGAATGGCCTCCTCTTATTTGTCACCGTGTTCTTATATGGAAATGCTCAAATTTAAGCTGTTACCTTTTTTACCCCCAAACTAGAAGTATGCTTTGCTGTGCTGGTGACCCCAAGAAGCTGTAAAGTTTTTTTTGAGGTGTGCTGGCCAATATATTGCGCAAATTGCCTTTTGTGGATTTAAAAGAAGAAAACATGAACTGCTTTAATTCATAGACTCTCATCACAATAAGGGATGAATACATCACACTTTCTGCCCCTTGTCTAGGGGAAGAGACATTTATGGGATGTAACTTTTGGCCCACTACTTCGATTGCCATGTGGATTCCTGTAGAGCCTGTAAAAGCAAAACCACTCATCTTTGAGTTCAGAGAATGCACGCTGATGGATTGACTTAAAATACCCACCTAAGGAGATCTTGTGGTACAAGTTTTTCAATGCTCTGGAAGTTTGCAACTGTCTCTGTTCTGCTTGCCTTCCTGTAAAGGAAATTAGATCAAACAGTTGCCGTGACAACACCAGCTGCGATGTCACTAGAGTTCGGAACGGAAAGAGAAAAAACAAGCGTTCGCTGCCCAGTTACATTGGGGGAATCTTACAAAACCACCGTTGGGAGAAGCCGCACTTGACCACAAGGGCAGCAGGAAGTTCAGACATACTGGCAGCTCCTGTAGCTGACAGGGCAGCCCACAGAAACTGCGGAAGGGCAGGGTCTACCGCATAAAACAAACCAAGGAAAGTGAGGACGCTGGAATCAGACAATATCTCAAAATACACCCAATAGCACAAAAAACACCTCTATTCTATGGAGGACTATGATTGAAAGACCATGTTCCAAAACTCCTGTTCTCCTGCTTTGTATCGGGAACATGAAAACAATAGGATTGGGATGTTCCTTGTTTAGTGTAAGATGTTCATCAATTAATACCCAAAATTCAAATTGTCAGTTAAACATCAAACATCATGAAAAAAAGATGTTTATTTAATAGCCTTTAAAAAGAACATCTACACCAAAAGGAGTAAGTTATACAATTATTATGTAGCTGACAGTTTTAACAAAGTATTTTGCCAAACCGCAATACGTAAGAAAGGGTCGACTGCTGGTACACTACAAACATATTAACATTTATATCATATGGACCCTGCCTGAGCCAACTAAAAATAAAGCTGTCAGGCTGTGACTTCTGTCTTTAAAAAGTAACCTAAAAAGTCTTGTAAATAAAGAGAGTAGATGTGCTTGTGTCTCTTTAGCAAGGCTCAAATAGGCTTCATCTTCCAAGACACAGAAACCACCAGTTAATTTAAAAATGTTAAATATGCCAAAAGCTTTTCCAGTTTTCAAGTTTAAATAAGTATTAGGATCTGTGAGAGGAAAGACACTACTAAATAAAACTGAGCATAATATTTGCAAGAGTTAACACAATGAGTTAATACATCCCAGTAATCAGTCACTGGGAGAATACTTACTTGTACACTTCATGATACTGCTCTTGTCCCTTAGACCTTCTTGATATTTTCTCCAGCCAAGCACTATACATGTCCTGAGGACTAAAAGAGATTTATCATATCAAATACATCAATGATCTACAAACACATTCAAATGAATTAACATTTAAACTTAATCTTCATTAAGTTGCAAATAAGAACAGATTTTATACAGTTCTATATTCCACAACATATAGACACTACAAACACAGAATAGATTCTGGTTCTCTTTCCATACTCATCCTTCTTGATCTCAGTGCTGCCTTTGACACTGTTGACCATAACATCTTGCTTTCTCGTCTCGAGACTGTGTTTGGAGTCTCTGACACTGCCCTCAAATGGTTTAAGTCTTACCTCACTGATCGCTGTCACTTTGTCTCTCTCAATGGGTACAGGTCTGAAATTGGTCTTGTCAAGTCTGGTGTCCCCCAGGGCTCAATACTGGGCCCCTTGCTCTTCAGCATTTACATGTTCCCACTTGGTCAGCTTTTAAGATCACATGGCCTCAGCTTTCATTTTTACGCTGACGATACTCAAATATACATCCATACCAACCCCGACACTGACGTGGCTGTCTCTATTCTATCTAATTGCATCTCTGACATAAAAATTTGGATGACTCAAAACTTCCTTCATCTTAACTGTGACAAGACTGAAGTCATGCTTATTGGTACCCCCCATCAACTTCGTAAAGCCAGTCCTGTAACCCTGTCTGTAGATGGCTCTGTACTAGAACTTCAATCAAAATTGAAAAACCTTGGGGTTATATTCGATTCTGGCTTAACATTCGACCCACATGTACAGCATACTGTCAAAACATCTTTTTTTCACCTTAGAAATATCGCAAGACTACGCCCTATGCTATCATTAACTGTGGCTGAAAAGCTGATCAACATATTTGTATTCTCCCGAATTGACTACTACAATGCTCTGCTCCCTGGTGTATCTAAATCTACTCTGAACAAGCTGCAGTATGTCCAAAATTCAGCAGCCAGAATCCTGACCAGGTCTAGTACAAGTGTTCACATTACTCCTATCCTGGAGTCCTTGCACTGGCTTCCGGTCAAATTCCGCGTAGACTTTAAAATCCTCATGCTCACCTACAAGGCTTTACATGGCTTGGCACCTCAATACCTGTCTGAACTTTTATCGCCCTACTCCCCACCTCGCAACCTCCGCTCTTCAAATTCTGCCCTCCTTACTGTCCCCCAAGCCCGTCTACATTGTATGGGCGACAGGGCCTTCTCCTGCTATGCCCCCAAGCTCTGGAACTCTTTGCCCAAGGATATTAGAGAGTCACCTTCTCTAAACTCCTTCAAATCCAGACTCAAAACCTTCTTCTTCAGAAAAGCCTTTACTTAACTGGTTCCATTCTTCACCCCTCTGCTCTTCTTAATACCATCTTCCACGGTCTCCTCTATTTTTATTGTTGTATTGTTGTAATTATAATTGTGTCCTGTCTTGTGAAATTTTCTTATTTATTGTTGTAGTCTTCTTATTTATTGTTATTGTCATCCTGTAAAGCACTTTGAGAAGCCACCTTTAAAGGCGCTATATAAAATAAAGTTTTTTATTATTATTATTATAATAGCAAACTGCACTGGCTATTATACTTTTATATATTGCTTTAGAATTTCACGATTCTAAGCCTACCAGGATTTGCGTTACCTTGGAACAAGTAATAGGTTTATTCCATGCTGAAGAGAGAAGAAAGAAAACGCAACGTTTTGGCCGTCGAGCCTTCTTTGGGTGTGAGCACCGTTGAAGAGCTGTGTTACCTGAAGAGTTTGTTTTACCTTGGAGAGCTTTTTTCTTCAGGTTCAGTCCTTCTGCTGTCAAGGAAATCCTTTAATGTGCAAGTGTTTTCCAGCCATTCAATCAAACCAATCCTAAGCAGAAAAAAGAGCAATTTTTCCCATTGATCTTACCAGCTAAACACAGATTTGAATATACTAAAATGGAGAATGTGCATACGTTTCCTATATTGGGCACACTTGTATTTAAACAGCCAAAAAAGAATTGAATTCTCCCCTTAATTCTCTCCTTGTCATATTTGAAATGTTATCCTTAAATACCATGAAAATAAAAACAATTTAATGCTATTCACAATCATTCTATTTAACAACAGCTTCCTAGGGATTTTGTTTTCAATGTGAATTTTTTCCTTTTCAACATGCTTGTAAAACAATATTCTATATAGCATTTCAAACAAGTGCTACAGCCTGAAATGTCACAGTGGGCTGAAACAGTACCTGGTTGTCATGGGGATCACCTGGTAGGTCCTGAGGCCCAGGTTCCTCTGGGAGCAGGCCGCATCCTGCGAGAGGATGATGTTCATTACACCGAACAGCTGCTCGATGCGCTGGTCCTGTCGCAAGTCCTCACCCCCCTTCACCAGGAAGGGATAGTCCCTCTCGTCACTGCCTCGGATAATCAGGCGCTTGGGTTTCCGAATGGAACGCAACGATTGGACCTGAACACCAAACAAGAGATGCGCTGTGGTGTGCGCCACTGACATGTACATCGCTAATGGCAACGTACAGATACTGGCACAGGCTGAGGAAAATGACAGTGGAGGTGTCTCTGAGAATCTAGACCCAATGAGTGACATTAAGAGGTGTCAATATTTCCACTTCCTAGAGCCTCACATCAAGGGGTGTTTACTTAGTTGTGCTGGGTTTGAGAAAGAATGGTCAAAATAATCCTCTGGTTCACCTTAGTGCCTGGTAAATGACTGTGTGTCAAAGAACAGTCAAACAAGACACCAAAATATCACATCAAGACAGGAGAAAAAGAGGAGAAGAGAAGAGAAAAAACTTGAAGCTTGTGCCAGGCAAGAGACCCTACTTCATGATAATCTGAAAAAAAGCTTTTCTGTGCTTGCTTGCTGTTCTGTGTTTTTAGGGAAGAATCCCTCAGTTCAACAGCCTTTCCTGCTTTGTGGGTGCATTATAGAACGGGGAGAAAGACTCCCATTTATTTTGTGGCATCTGTGTTTGCAGAGAGAGAGATATATAATTGTAGGTGGTATTGCATTTATGTTAGAAGGTGGCTTATCTCTCCTCTGTAGGCATTATTTAAGAGTCAAATACATCGTAGCAGTCTAGGGTTTGCAGTATGTTGTGGGTTTATATTGTGTGGAGTGTTTGTATTGTCATTATTAATAAATATTGGTTTAACCAAGTTTGCCTGAATTATTACTCTTTTAACCAAAGCTGTGGCAGAGAATAAGGAATTCACGTGCCTCTAACTATACCAACTGCTCGGGTATATTCTTGGAGAATTCCTCAAAGGTTGGGGGCTCTGATAATTTATTTTACTTACTGACTAATCCACTCGGTTAGTTCCTGTTTGTAATTCACCATTTTTGTAACCCCCTCGTTTGTAACAATAGGTACAGACAATAGGCAAGACATCATGAAAGAGAACATTGGGGGAGGCAGCAGAGGTTTGGTTCTTCCTGATGATATTTGTATAAGTGTCTGTTAAATCTTGGGGAACTGTGTATGAACATCTACATTCTCACTCAAGTCAACAGGGTGGGGTTTGCAGGTGATATTTGTGTGGGCATTTCAACTTGCAAACCTTTGGGGAGAAAAAATAAGGGAAGATACTAAGATATTTGAAAAATCCACCCCCACAGACATTGAAGAAGCAAAAAAGAGTACATTTTTGATCAAATTTGAGGTGTGGCAACCTTACGAAAAACATTCACCATCAACCTCTCAGATGCTCAACCCAAGACAAACAGCAAGCAGCAAGCCTTGGCTGACTGCGTCAGTGCAGACCGTTTTTTTTGTGTAAAGTATAATTTTTGCAGCACATGCTGCATAGGAATAAGTCAGAATCAACGGAGTGCTTGATACGACTATTGAAAATCGAAGGCATTACATCAGCTATCTCTTCTCTTCAATAAGTCATGTAAGTCCTTATAACTACTACAAGTGCAACTATAGGTGTATTAAAAACAGAATGACAGAATGCATGGACAGACAGAAGCTGTTACACTTGTAATGCTTAGTCCTATAGGGAACCAGGAATCAGTGAAAACTCAGCATGATTAACAAAACTGCCAACACTATTATTCGCTTGGTCTTTACACTCAACACAAAATAGCTGCCTAGTCTACAGCAAGCAGGTAAACCCAAAGTACACAACAGAAGCTACCATGTTAATGGTCAATTAAGGTGTTATTATCATCACAGAAACATGGCTGTCTGAAAGCAAGAGATAAATGCAACATGAGTAGATGTTGTAGCTTGGAGTGACAAGAAAGACAGAAGAGGAGGAGTAGGACTTTATATGACGTATTGAGGCTCATGAATGTAGTCAAGGAACCAAGAGTGTCAGAATCTATAGGGCTCAGTTTCATCAAAAGCATTCTAAGGGTGCAATGTTAGGAGTATGCTATAGAACACCAAATGTATATATTAATTATAATCCAGCAGTCTTTAACAAGAGTAACAGCAGTCTTTTTGTGCAAAAGTAGTGGTCTTTATGGGAAATTTTAACTTTCCCCACATCATACTCCGAAAAACCTATCAGCAGCAGAAAAAGTGGACGACATGGCTAATGACTGCCTTCTTACTCCGCTTGCTGGAGCACACACAAGAGGAAATGCCTGGACTGATTCCTCTTTTCAAACAATGAAGACAGAATGATGGCCAGCAGAGATGAAAGCACCATCAGGAAATTGCTGACAATAACATACTTTACTCTCAAGTATTCTTTGAAACTGTCCAGGTTAAGTCCAAATAAAAAAAAAAATCAGATTCAGGAAAGCAGACTTTGAAGGAATGGGACAGAGTTTAAAGGTGTTAAAATGGGCCTATGGCTGGTACTAAATGACTATTTCGCTCAGGTGTTCAATAAGAAGTCAATAAAGACACAGTTCTGTATTAAACAGTATCAGCAAAGAAAAGGCAGAAGTAATTTTGGTACTAAATGCACTCAAAATTAAATACTCTAAAAATCTCCAGGGCCTTATGGTATCCTACAAATTGTTCTTAAGAAAAAAAAAGTTGTTACTCATAGGTAACTGAAGCAACGATTCTAACTGATTAATGACAATAAATTATTGACATTCATCACTTTATTTTCAATTATATTTTTATCATCACATAGATGTTACCATTATATTTTTATAATCTGCAAACACTACAACATATATACAGAAGGGTTGAGTCACTTCAGAAATATGATAAAACGCACATACCCTTTCATCAAAACCAGTGATCTTCACGTGATACTCGGGCAAAGGTTTGGATCTGCCATCATACTGCCCTGAAAAAGAGTCGATTAAAGTATTGGAAACCAACAGCGAAGCAAAGCTGCAAAGCACACAACTGAAGCACTGAACCTGAGCCTGAAGCCAGAACACACCAGAGTAACATTAAACTTATACCCTGTTTCTAGTTTATATCTATAAATTTAGGACTTAGTATTTAGACATATTCAAATAAAATCACCTGATACCTAAAAATACAGTTCGAAGTAGCTGCAACAAAGTAAGAGACTTGGCAAAGCACCTCAAAAGTTCTCACTAGAGTTTAACGGTGGTCCCAATGGGTCAAAGATTAATACTTTTTAGGGTTATGCAACCACATTCTGACTTACCTTATCAAACAAAAGTTGTTTGCGTTCTAATATGATCAAATGCATGCATGTAATTACCATCAAATACAATGAGTATTATGCTTATCATCTCACGATCAGCTGTTCAAATAGTTGTGGAAGGCACCGTGTACACAACTTTGGGTTGCGGGAGTCTGGAACAAGTTGCACAGTCATGTTGGAGAAGCTGTTAACATGGCTATTTGCAAGGAACGGCTGGATGAAATCCTTGCATCAATTAATGACTAATTAAACCCAACAGGCTTCATGGGCTGAACGGCTTTCTTTCATTTGTAACCTTTCTTAGGTTCGCACACTAGATAAGATGAGCGATAAGATCGCTGCACTGGCCATATACAATTTCTTGTATTAGGAATTTGTCTTTTCACATACCCCAGCTTGCTCTCCATGAGACACACAAACAGGGAGAGAAGCTGGGGGTCAGAGCGCAGGGTCAGCCATTTATACGGCGCCCCTGGAGCAGCTGAGGTTAAGGGCCTTGCTCAGGGGCCCAACTGAGTAGGATTCCTCTGCCGGAGGCAGTATATGAACCGGCAACCTTCCAGCCACAGGCGCAGATCCTTAGTCACAGACCCTCCGCACTGCCCACTATATACTATACGCACACACGTGCATCAACATGCATCTGTGTCCTCTGGAGCTCTTCCAGGAACTCAGATCTGTGGTGTTGAGGAGTTCGCCTTCTGCAAGCCTCCACACAAGCACGGAGGGAGTGCACATACTGTACATACCTGGGACCTCCAGCTCGTTCCGCAGGGTCTCTGGCCTGAAGTTGCTCAGCCAGGACGAGTACTCCTTCAGGTTTCCCGGAAGCGCAATCGAATCCATTGATCTGATCGATGTCGTCAGTTTTTGCCAAAACTTTTCATCTTTCCTCTTATCCCACAACTTGGAGCCATCCTTACCCAGTTCCTTTACAATCTCTTCAATACGTTTGGCATATGTCTGTAAAATACACACCACCAAGCCATGAGAGCAGGATTTAACCAGTAACTACAGCTAAAAGTGTAACTGACGTGGCCAATTGGACACTGTGAAACCCTTAGGCTGTGGCTGGTAGCGCTCATTTACAAAAACTGTTCTTATAGTGCAGCTGGTTTGCATTTTACTAATCGAACGCATGATCAAAAGCTGAGGTTAATTCTATATTGAAAAGAAAAAAACAAGACGCAATGTGTCCATGCCTGAAGAAGCCTCAACAGCTGAGACATTGTTCTTTCTACTTCAGTCTGAAATTAATATCAAATTGTTCTTGTGCAGCCCACACAGTGAAATAGCTCCTTACTCAAACCATGGTCCTGCATTTTAGCAACTTCAAAAGTTAATTATCCCAGCTTTCCTTTTGTTAAGTATGTAAATTAATGTCTTGAATTTGTCTTTTGTTCTATCCTGACAATGAATCAAGCTGACAAAATCATACACATTCACTTTTCATAAAGTATAAACGTCGGAATACCCAATTAAACGTACAACATATACAGTATATGCACGGGAGTTCTAATACAGTGTTTTCCACAGATATTTTTAACTTCATTAATATCAAAAAGGTGACATTTTTCCAAAACAGTTTTGAGAAGGATCGCCATCTGTTTCAGTTACTTAAATCAAAATTGTTTCCTTCATCTTCAAAATGTTTTCTCTTTCCTCAGAAAGCACTTCCAGAACTGAAGAAACAGCAAGTACCTCGACAAACTTCTTGCGAAAACGTCCAATTCCTGCTGCCTTTGCATTCCCAAGCACAGAAATAATCTCTTCATACATTTTCTTAGCATCCTTTTTGTCCGTCTTTGGTTTACTTAAAGTATTTCTTGCATCCTCTAACCAATCCTGCCAAAACATAAAAGTTACATTAAACATTTAATGACTAACATTTCACTGTGCTGAAATAACTTGATACTGAAGACGTCTTCAATACCTTAAAAAGCATTTCAGGATTGGAGAGTTGCTGCAAGGCTTCTACAAAATCTTTGACAACTCCTCCTTTGTCCAGTTGGTCCTTCAACCTTGGGATTGACACAAAGAAGTAATAGGATTTCAGCAACATGTGTCTTCTCCACAAAAAACATAAATCCCTCTAAAGTAGTTTAAGAAACTGTGAATACATTTTCATTATTTGTCCTTTTTAATCCTTCAAGCTAGCCTTTAAAACCTAACAGTTTCAAAATTTAAATCATTTTAGGGGCTCAAATGAAAGCAATGGATATTTAAACATTTTGAGTTCAGGTTCCACAGTGTTGAAAAAATGTGACACGTCATAGACTATGGTTTTGATTTTCAGGTTCTTGTTCCCAATAAAAGATTCATTCTAAAACTGCAGGAGGCAGGCATTTAGAGAAACACGAATTAGTGGAGTACTACAGGGGTCTTCACCTACATGTCGTGAGTGTATGGAATAAGCTACCCAGCCATGCAGCTGAAGCCAGTACTCGGGGAAAAATGTATCTGGATAAGATCCCAAGATCAATTATGGGCTAGATGGGCCAATAGACCGACTCGTTTGTCCTTCTTATGTTCTTTTCATTAGTGCAAGTGGCAGGCAAGTGACACAAACAGCACCAATAAGCAGCGCCAAACAGTAGTTTCCTCATTATCTCATACCAGTGTGCCCGAGGGAAGAGGGATTGTGCTCCCTTGCAGAACGCAGCACAAAGAGCCGTGCAGCGTTCCCGGGAGAGACACGTTACTAGGCTACCTTGTGACAAACTCCTTGTTTCTGTGGCCGGTGGCGGAGTCCTCAAACTGGTAGGTCTCGCTGCTGATCATGAAGGGGTAGACGACGGCCTGGGGGTAGGACTCGGCAAGCCCCTGGATGACGTGCTGCACAGCCACAGCCTCCTTCTTGTCCAAGAGCGCCATCATCTGACTGATCCAGCCGATCAGCTGCCAACAGGGCACTGACGACATCTGGAAATCAGGCATCATGCTGTATGGTGAATACGGCTGCACTGCCGTGAGATACTATGAAGAGTTAAGACAGGTTTAAAAAAAATCTAAACCTGCATTAAAGAACTCCAATATGCAGACCTCTTTGATCATGAGGTCCAATGTCTCGGCAGAATACAACTCGACGATCTGCAGCAGTCTGGGGAACTTCAGTCGAGCTTCGCTGGAGTTCAGCTTCAAGGCTTTCAACACCTGCTCCACCACAATGGCAGGAAATGTGGGTAGCTCAGAGAATTCAGAAACTAAAAGAAATAATAATAAGAGGAGTGACCTTGATAACTTGCAGTAACACAACAATCCCTGTCAACCATCTAAGAACAGAATTAAAATAAAAAAAAACGAAAAAAGCCTTCCCTTCGAAAGAAGGTATAATTAATAATTACAGATCCATTTGATTAAACAGTAATATGAGTTCTGTAGTACCCACTGGTCTAATACTCTTCTAACAGTTCTATATTGTGGAGTTGAGGACAAGAGCTTTAGGCTGATGGCTGTTTTCAGCTCTTGTAGTTTTATGCAACTCTGTTATTATTCTGGAGCGTAGACAGTCAATTCACCCTGGTCATTTTCCTCCTCCTCCCTCAGGCGTTTGTCACAGAAGTTGGCCAGGGTCATGTGGGCCTCAATGGCTCCAGCTGTGTCCACATGGTCGGCTGAACGGGACTGCACTTCGTCTTCGACTTTCTTCACGGCGCTCTGCATGAGCCCCAGAGCCCTTTTGTGGAATCCCGCTGTTACCTGCGGAATGATTCAGCCAGGATTAGATTCAGTAAACCACCTCTCTATATTCACATGCACTATTGCGTTCACAGCTGTTTGCCATTAGAATTTCTTGTGAAGTTATGATGTATGTTAATATGCATGTTACATATTATCTTTGCAAGACTGAAATGTGTAAAATACCTTTGAGAACGTCTCTGTATAAGTTATTCATCCATCCTTCCATTTTCAATAAAAACTTCTAACAAAGCAGGCAAAAGGTGCAGGACAGGGCACCAGTCTATTGTAGGACATGCCCATACACATTTCAAGGTGACAAATTAGAAATGCCAAATAAACACCGCACAGAAAGTGCCGTGGGCTGGAGTTATTCCCAGCACTCAACTGCTGTGAGGAAGCAGCATCACCCACCAAACAGACAGATAGATAGAGGAGTTTATTTGCCATAAGTATGTGTACAATGGGATTGTTATTCACTCCGTTCTCTCAGGACATGACAGTACAGGAGACAAACACAGTACAACTAAAAACAGAACACAAAAGACAGTACATTACAGAACAGAAAATGAGAAATAGTGTACTGTTCAGACAATAAACGAACAGTGAGTTAAATACAAACAGAACAATAAATACGTGGTAGAACGTCAAAGTGCAGAGTGCAGAGGTGTGTTGAATTCTGAAACATTGAACAGTTAGCTGTTGAGGATGCACACTGCAGGAGGATAGAAGCTGGTCCTGAGTCTAGTGGTCCTTGCTATAATAGCGCAGTACCGCTTGCCAGCGCGCAGCGGGGAGAACAGTCTGTGGCCGGGATGGTTGGGATCCTGACTGATGGATTGGGCTTTATTGCGACAGCAGATGGTGTGGATCTCACAGATTGATGGCAGGTCACATCCTGTAATCGTCCGTGCTGTCGCCACAACCCTCTGTAGAGCAACCTTGTCGCGTATGGTAGTATTACCGTACCATACAGTGATGCCGCTAGTGAGGACGCTTTTTATGGCGCTGTGGTAAATGTTCCTGAATAGCTACTTCCCCATAATGCATTTCCTCAGGCACTGCAGAAAGCGGAGGTGCTGCTGTGCCTTTTTCAGACAGGCTACAGTGTTGTCAGAGGTGCCAGCCTTTGATATTTACAGTTTACATCTTACCTTTTTCTTTTTAATTAGTCTATGGACATCTACTTACAGCACATTCCTAAAAAGAGATGAAAGGCACCCAATGCCTGTACATAAGCACCCCCTACCTGCTGAGGATTGGACGATGAGGCTCCGGACAGCTTCAGGACCCTTCCTGCTTTCTCCGGCCCGATCTTCTCCAGCACACTGGGGTCTCTGCTGACCGCACTGGCCATGATATGGTATGTAGTGCCCAAAAGTAACTTTTGGTTCCTGAAATTTTGAGCCGTCTCCTTCTCGGGATCAGTTTTGCTGTCCTCTGTTAAAAGCGGGGCAAAAAGAAATTAAATTCAATTAAACTCTCAGAAGTCACTACACATCTGTGTCAAAAAGACAGGATTACTAGATAAACTGATCTACAATGCTGGCTTTTATATGATAAGTACAGATATAAGAACAGAGATATGCCCTTTTAAAATGTGTTTTAAAACACATTCACTGCGATACATATGCAATATTTTTGCAGAAATACTAAACGTACAGTGAATGTGTTTTTATAAAAGACTGAAATACAATAATTAAGAAAAATATGAGACAATCTCTTTTTCAACATTTAAAACTGAGAAAAGGTGGAAAATCAGGCACAAAAACATGATATATACAGTAATTGGCATTTTGTGAACTCTTTTCCTGTGCTCAAATAAAAATAAGCTTGTACTGTGATCGAGATCCCACTGGTTGTGGTCTGTCTGCCCTTAAAGGACACTATATATCATTTAAACACCGGCTGTCCAATTCATTGATCTTTGTGGAGCACCCAGATTAATAGGGGGAAAGGGGTATTGCCAGCTGTTATATATCTTTGAGGACCCTAAGTCTCAGTGGTTTCCTGACAACTATAGATGTCATGTCTGCGTGAGCTTTCAGCATTTGCACACAGTAACACCGAGCTCCTTCCCTGGAACCAGCCTTGAACATATTGTACAGCTGGGATAATACGATGCCTTCATCTTGGATTAATTTATTACATTTCTTATGTAACGCTTCTCTCTCTTCAGTGGGTGAACTCAAAGCTTCACCGCAGGTTCTTTAATTCTCTATACCATCCGTCACCGCTTTGGAAATTCAGTTTCATGCGTTTGGCCAGTGTGTTGACTGCAGATCGCGATTCCAACACACGGATGCCCCCCTTTTCTTACAAAGGCCCCTTCACCAGAGCCTGTCCATTAAATCCAAAGTCCGTTAAAGTGAAAGTTTACCGTACTGACTTCAGAATCGGTAGCAAGCCTCGAACCAGGGCAACGGAGTGGAAACTACATGAAAGTATATTTAAAACCGGAGGCACTTCTGTACCTAAATGGTTGTGGGTGTACCCAACAATGCTGTTGAAGCCCATGTCCTAGCTTCCAAAACACCTGCAGATTCTCAGATCTATTACCTACTGGCTACCAAACGGGCCTCTTTATAACCTTCCTTGTGTTCTTATGGATGATTAACATCTCAAGGGGACTCAAAGGAACTGCAGCCCTGGAGTGGAGCCCTGTTAGGCTCGTTCTCAGGGCCTCACCTAACACGTCGACAGTCTTGAGGACGTTGAGGATCTGCTCCGCGCTGTCCTGTGCCTGGCTATAGAGGTGCTTGAAGCGACAGAAGCCGTGAGCCCATCGGAGATTCCAGTGGCTGCGCGCCTTACACTCTTTGTGCAGTGCCTTCAGCAGCTTGGCGGCCACGGAGAAGTTCCTCTGCAATGCCAACAGCAGAAACAGCACACCTTTGTCAGAGCCTTTCACATTTTTCAAAGGAAATGCAGACATATTACATTATTCATCTAAATGAAATCGAACAAAATATGAAATATGCTGAAAATATCAGGCATTTCAAACGACCAATGATTTACTAAGAATTAGTAAATTATTTAAGAATGACTACTAGTAAAATTATATAGATGGGCAGAAGAGGCTCCCACTGTTAGCAGTCTTATGCTCTCAAGGAACAAACACATTAAATGGCAGGGGCGGTTTAGCATGAGGATAAAGAGCACACTGGAGTCCTATTAAAAAGAACAGTGGAAATATCAGAATTTGCAGTTCATTCTTACACACCACTATCCTAACGGGGACCATATTGTAAGAATGGGATGGGACTGGGCTTCAGATGTGTCACAACCTTGTGGAATGCACACCTGCTGCTCATGGTGGCTCAATACAGATTGCAGCAACTTTACAAATATTTTCTGCATCTTGTCCTTCAAGGCCACCTTGTCAATCTTAACATACAAGGCAACTCTGAACAAGACAATGTCGCTGAATCATGAATATTTCAAATCACAATTACGATGGTTGCACTAAAAAGTGGGTTTTTACCTGTTTCCTTGCACTCTCAGCCATTTTCAGTCTCATACTGATCTTGCAGTCTTTAATCAGAAAATCGGGGTCTTCCCATTCTCCAGCTTCCGTCTTTATTTCCTTGTCTCCATCCTCCTCCACTTCCATACTGTCACCAGCAACTGAGCTGACAAGCTTCTCGGAGATCTTATCCAGGAAAAAACATCTATAAAACATGAGGGTTACTCAGCATTAGGCTGGGGTTTTCCACAGAACTCAAAAAGGAATTTGACAAATGAGCTACAAACCATGACAAGTAGAAGCATTGCTTTCATTGCCTGTTTCCCTAAATTAGCTTATCTCCCCTCCCAACACCTGTGACCCATTCCATTTAATACTTACAGGTTTTGCTCAATGCCTTGTAAAAAGGAATTTATGACAAAACCAAAAAGAACTAAACTAATATTACTACAATTTTTACCAATAACTACCACCAGTTAGGCTAGAAAACAAGGGAATTTAATGTTGTGGCTGGAGGGAAGCAGCTGAGTTTCACTTGGGGTTGAGTGACATGTACTTCCCACGTTGATCACTCAGAAGGTCTGAAACAATGCATTCTGTGGTACCCTAGACCAGATGATCCAAGGGTGTTCCTAGAATTTACCCGTGTTCATTAACTTCACAATAAATGGTTAAGACTCACATATGAAAGCAGTCAACAGTGACTAGGCCAACCACCACCTGGCCTAGTGAAATCCCTATGCTCGCCTCCATAGGAACAGACCACAGATACGCAAATACAGGAAGGAAGAAAGTAAGAGAGGACAGGAATCAAATTGTCTTCTGGACTCGGTAATTAATCTGATTTTATTATATTCAATGACCCACCACCTTTGTGACCACATTTCTGCACATAAATGTGGTGTTGATGACTACAACATAGTGGAATATGTTTACCGATTTGTGATGACATCATCCCACACGTTCATTGGATCCATTCTGTCGTCAGGGTATCGATGAGTCCAAGTTCTTATCAAGGTTTTAAGAGATGCGGTGGAAACTGGTAAACAAAACATTCCAGATAAGTAGACAACAGATGATATCCAATATCTAAAAAGTGAATGAAATTAGACAATCTTTGGAAAAACACCCCTTACCATCTTTTGTGATAAAATAGAGGAAGTCCTGGATCTCTGTTAAAGCCTGTACTGACTGCAGTTTGGCAAGACGGCTTCCATAAAGCAGCGCATCAATGTTTGAATAGTTCTTCATTAAAAAAAAAAAGAATAAAGTTTCGCTTTGAAGAAAAGTAAGATCATTTCTGGGCAAAGCTACACTTTTAGATTTTTATGTTTGGCTGTTAAGTCATAACAGTCACCATAACGTCAATTTTTAAAATCATAACAGTAAAAAAAGAAAAAAAAACGCGAAGAGTTCCTCCATGAACAGAAACTTTCACACGTTTTTTTTTTGTCCCCACCACCAGCCGTCGAACTGTTAATATTCACACTGGAGATGACAAAAGATCATAACTACGCAGTGTGATGCAAAGAAACTGCGCTTCGCTCCAACCTCCTCCCACGCGCACTGACCCCGCCCCCCCCAGCGGTTCGCACCGACCCCGCCCCCCCGGCGGTTCGCACCGACCCCGCCCCCCCCGGCGGTTCGCACCGACCCCGCCCCCCCCGGCTGAGCTCACCTGGATGAAGACCTGCATGCTGTTGTTGATGTAGAACTTGGCCCTGTCGTAGTCGTCCTGCAGGATGTAGAGCAGGCTGAGCTCCTGGCTGTAGTTGGTCTCCATCACGCTCTTCCTCTCCTCCACCTTCATGGCGTTGTCCACGAAGGTCAGCAGGGACTGGTCCTGCCCCCCCAGCTGCAGCTGCTTCACCATGCCGCGCACCACGTACGGCAAGTAGGCCTCCTGGGAGACGAGCAGCCCAGTCAGACAGAGCGCCAGAAACCACCCCTTGAAAGGACGCAGGACTGGCATCGCACCTGCCTAGCCAAGGCGCCGCGTCCTTCTGAAGCAGATGGGCAGGTAGTTATACTGCCAGAAAAGATGACTTTACTGTCATCGCAACGGTAAAATGTTGAAAACATCGGTCAAGAATAAGACTGCTTTTCAATAACTTTCACAGATTCAGCAACCCAAATGACTACAAAATCCCGCATTCTGATCCGTCTAGAATATACAGAGGTGTGAGCAAGCAACTGCCTCAGCGTGAGTTGGTTGCAAAGTAGGAATTAGCAAGTAGAGGTGAATTTCATGTTGGAAAGCAAAAATAAGAAAGAACACAATGTTTCATCTGTTAAGGCTTCTCCAGCAAAAAACCTCTCCACCCCCTGACATTCCTCATCTCTGTAGACCCTTCCATAAGGACCTGATAGAAAGGATCGCTCCACATCTTCTCCAGGTCCACCGGAGAGCTGTCGCCGATGTTGACGGTAGCGCAGTACTGCAGGGACTTCCATTCAGACAGGTGATTGTAACACTCCAGAGCGGCAATCTCCCAGAAGTCCTTCTCCGTGTCAGTGGGCCCTTCATCCATCCACTCCTCAGTGTTCAAAGCCTATTGAACACAATCTGCACTTAGGAATGTTAAAAACGAACAACAGAAAAACAAAACGGAGCTAACAGTCCTGGTTAGTGACTCACAAAAAAACATTACCCCTGAGATGCAACTTGAATTAGTTTCTGGTTCTTATCAATCACTCTGTAGCCACAGAGCTACCCAAGTAGCTTTTCAATGTTTTGATTTACTACAAAGTGAAAAACGTGCAGGCTGAGAGACCTGGATACATTTTTAGGGGTTTGTCAGAACTGTAGAAATGTACTTGAATGAATTAGGAATTGAAGGAAGAAAGTAAATATTTACAACAGTCAGCATTTCTAAAAAGTTGACTTCATTATGTTATCAATTGTTACCTCATTATATAGCTTCACAGCCTGAGAATAATCATTTTTTGCTTCTGCCTGAAGTGCCAGGCTGGTAACAGGTTTGGCTCCGATCTTGCCACTGAAGATTCCCCTGAGGACATCATAATCTCCCAGAGACCTATAGAGCCTAAAAAACAACAATTTCATAGATTTGTTTTTAATGTTTTAATTTTAATTTAATGTGCTGTACTTTTCCTCTGAAGATAGCACACACTATAAATCTGTTCAGAATATCAAGGAGACGTGATTTTATATTTTACTAAATTAGTTGAGGATTAAAAATGGTCAGCTAAAGTCACTAAAACATTTTTTAAAACAGAAATATCCATCCACCATGTCTAACACAATCATGAGAAATGGGAACTGGAAATGACAAATTAAAGTCATAGAAAGAGGTTTACTGCCCTTTCTCAAGTTTGAACGAAGAAAATGATTTTTTTAAGATAAAGTAATTTATGCTGTGATAAATGTCCAGTTTTAACAGTAACTGAAAAAAGTTATTGTGTGCAATGTCACGTGGCGCTGAACCTCAAAACGACAGAGAAGACCAGGGGGAAAACGTCCTCCAGCTGGCCTACAGTGAACTCACTTGGCCAGATGGATCCAGCGCTCAGTGTCAGGGGGCAGCTCCCTGTGTCCTCGGGCTCTCTTGGAGGGGGGCTCATCAGGGACACTCCCCCTGATCAGGCTCTCCTCCAACAGCAGGATGCCCATCGGCTGCTGCAGACTGGCCAGGCAGCTGGAGCTCACGGCGCTCGGGTCCACCTTCAGGAGCTCCTTGTACTGGTAACTCATGTCCTGGAGACAGACGGCTTTTTTCGCCTTAATACCGACTGCTCAAAGGCCACATAGGAACCACAGTGAAGAATAAGAATACGCTGCTGTTCAGTCATCCCTTATTGTATACTAATCGCCTGCTTCAAGACACCCGAGTAAAGACACGCTGGCAACAACCCAAATAAGCGCCATGAGTCAGGCACCTCCTCAGCCTTCAGACTTGCCTTTTGGTCCACTGCAAACTGTACTGATGCAATCTGGCAGTACAGTGACTCCAGCGCACAGACAGGCAAGTCAGACGCATTCGAGCTACAAAATCTGCCTGGATACACTCGGGATAACAAGCTCCGTTAATGCCGTGCTTGTGTTGGCAGAAAGAAACATGAACGGGAAGAAAAAACGTTTCCTTTTCTGAAAAAGAATTTAAAGCACCAATGGGAAAACTGTGCAAGTCCAAAATCCAGCCTTTTGTACAAAAAGAAATTCAATGATATGTGGGGAACACAATTACATATCACAGTAAGAACACGAAACTAGGGTTTTCATGACATCCCTACATATTCTAGATGCATCTCTAAATTCTTCTCTTTCGACAGCGACAGAGCTACCCATACAGTTCTGGGATGCTATTTTTCAGTAAGTCATATTACTTTTGCCACTACCTGTGCTGTTTAAATGCATAGTACTGTTATTATAGTTTTACTCTTACCTGAACACATGTAACAAAGGGAGGGAAATATAATGTGCTTTTGTTCAGGAAGTGGTTCATGTCCTGTAAAAGCTCTTCGGTGATCCTTCTCTTCTCTGCTTCGTTCTTAGACCCTTCCATTTGAGCCAAGATTCCACAAAACAGGGTGCTGAGGAGCTGCTTGGCGAGAGTGGAGTCTCTCTGCAAAACAGGATCACAGTGACAATCATGTCCTACAAATGGTGTCTTGCCTGATTTTCAAGTGACTTGCACCCTTCCCACCATGTCCCATTTTGTGAAATTGCAGATTTTATGCAAAACCTGACTGCTCAAACCAAAGGCTTCTAAGGGGTTACAGTAAATGAAAAACTGAAATAGGTTGATTGCATAAGTACTTGGACACATGAATTCAGTATGTGGTGGAGGCAACATTGGCTTTTTAAACTCTTTGTGTTCAAATTAAGCAATTAGATTTTTCTTTCATATTACGTATGATTGTTTTTAGATTTTAGCTTGTTTAAAGGGACGAAATGCGAAAGCTGTGCAAGGGGTTGAATACTTTTGCAAGGGACTGCATAAGGAAGTGCACCTCTTGCTGCTTCGCTGTGAAAATGTTGCAAAACCTTAGTGTTTTCCTTCTGTACCTTTTATTCTTGCCTTTATTGATTCCAATCCAGATCATGTATTTAATGATTGCCACTACCTATCCACAAGTACTGGCATAAAAAGAGATATCTGTGGGGCTCACAGGATACATTACGTTAGTAATTCCATCCTTAGAAAAAAAAGATTTACTCAACATTAATAAAGGTCAAAGTTTCGTTATTATGGTAAAGCTAGCCAGAAATTATATCCAACGATCCTGTACAAAACAAGGCAAATCTGTGTCTTGCGTCCAGCTCTCTGTTGGTTATGACACACACACACACACCACAACCATTCGGGTTTCAGCTCTGTTGGTTATGACACACACACACACACACACACACACACACACACACACACCACAACCATTCGGGTTTCAGCTCTCTTTACAGAGGACCCTGAAGCAGCCCGGAGGCTGCGCTGGGTTCCGGGCGAGAGGAAACAGACCTGGGCCAGGGCTTGCAGGGGCACAATCAGGCTGCTGTACGGAATCTGTATGTCAGGCAGGTCCCCGTGTCTGTATCTGCGGTACAGCGTCACCTGGGCCTCCCGCCTCAAAGTCTGCTCGGCCGCCCGCTCCTGCAAGTTACACTCATCAGTCACAGGCACAGAGGACACCTGGGCTGGCAGGACAGAGCCCTTCACTCACTTAACTGTGAGCTGTAATGTTCTACAGGGCAAGGGTATTAATACAAAAGAACATGGGACCAGACATGGAGCCATGGGGAACGTTAGAGCTAATACCATTTTCTGGAGACTGGAAAAGAGCAGAACATTAGGATTCCATGTATGTTTTTATGAACGAATTTGACTTGAGTTCAGCCCGGGGTTTACTCTTTGGCTAAGAACACATACCGGTTGCAAAGTAAACTAGTTTTCAATGTTCTATTGGTTTTTGATGATAAAAAAACATTGAGGAAAACAATTATTTACAATAATTTATTATGCACCAACAAGTATATTTGTGCATTCTTAGAAAAATGGAATTTGCCTGACAACTTCAGATGAACTATGCTTCCTGTGTTTCTTCCCAAAGTGAGCAGACCAAGCAAATAATGGGCGAGTATCTCATAAATACCCCCTTTGTACAATTACCTTCTCTTGCCGCTGTGCTTGGATGCCCTTCCTGGCAAACTGCAGGCTAACTTTTTCCTGGTCTTTTAGGAACCTCCTCCTCAGTCTGAGGATGTCAGCCCGCTGGTCGTTCACTGCTGTGAGAGCCAACAGGTGTGATAAACTTTCATCAGTGATTAAACTGTTCATAAACTAGTCGTGTACTGTATATTACTAGTCTCTAGGACAAAAGTGTTTAGACGTCTTTAGGACATGTTGAGTTGTATAAGAACATATGTCACAATCTAGTAAATGAAAAAATAAAAGGTGGTAACATTTGTAACCCACGGTACCTTCCTAGCACGTTTTCCTCGCTAGAAATCAAGTTTTCTGCACTGAGAATATCTCTGGGCAATTTCTTCTCTATGGAGCAGAAGTAGCCAAAAGTTAATAAATGTAATCGCTGCAGTCAAAAGCACCTTCCCCATGCAACAAGAGCTGCTCCAGTCTGCATTTAGAGCTGCTGTTCCTTCACTCGATAGATTCTTGGTCCTTGTCAACTGCTCTCAGTACTAGTGAGACAACTCTTTCCTTAATGAAGTATACCGTATTGTTTCACTGTAATATTTTTAGCTTTATTGCTTTTAATATGAAATCTGTTCTGTATTTACACAGAAAGTGATTTATACAATATTTTCCTGCTCACAAAGCAAGCTGGAATTTCTATAAAGAAGAGCCCAAATCTATAACTCCAGGAATTTCAGATCTGATTGTGGTTCACAAATAAGTTTACTCTCTTAAAACTGTTAAGAACTTTCAGTGAGCTGTTTTCCCATAAAGCCATAAAAATAATTCTTTCAAAAATCAGGAATAATAATTTTAACGTCCGAAATGACACTAACAGCACATCTAAAAATGCACAGAAGGCAAATTTCTGAATTTGCTAAATGAATGAAATCCATCTGACTCTTTTTTCAAATTGAGCTCTTAATTACTTAAACTAACTGATCGGTCACATCTTTCTCAAGTGTTTCACAAAGATACTGTGTAGAAAACAAGTGGAATGTCTCAAATGTGAAAATGACTTCATTATTTTTTATTGAAAAAATGTATGCAATAATCTAATACTCAAAAACACTCATTTATGCATCTTTTTTTAATCGCTGTCTGGAATGACTTATCCTGCTTTTTTAAAAAAAAGGCTTTGGGGGGGGGGGGTTAAAACATTTTTAAAATGTTATTTTGACTGTTTAGTTGTGAAATGCATGTTGCCCCGTCTTTCGGATGAGATGTTAAACCGAGGTCCTGACTCTCAGTGGTCATTAAAAGAACCCAGGCCATTTCTCGATAAGAATAGGGAGTTATCCCGGTGTTCTGGCCAAATTTCCCTCCCTCAGCCTTTACTGTGGCCCCCAAATTGTCCCCATGTATGATTGGCTTGCTCTTTCCCTGTGATGGACTGGCGCCCCGTCCAGGCTGTACCTTGCTTTGCACTCGTTGCTTGCTGGGTAGGCTCCAGCTTCAAGCGACACCGTACTGGTATGAAGCGGTTTGGTAAATATGACATGACATGCACGTTGCCCGAGACGCAAAATGGTTAACCGGTAATTCAGAAGGAACAGCCATGTCTGTCACACGTCGGTGGGGTCCACCCAGCCCCCTGGGGACAATACCTTTCTTCCTGCTGTCCACCTCGTCTCCCGGCAGGGCCAGGCGCTTCTTGCCGAAGTCGGCCCCTACCGGTTTCTTGGGGCCCCGTTGCTGCTGCTGCTGCTGCTTTTCGCCCCACTTCCCAAACACGAGCAGGGAGGAGGACAGGGAGTCCGAGGTGGCAGGCAGCGCGTACTCCGACAGAGTGTCCACGCTGCTCCCAGTCAGCCAGTTAAACGAGGCGCGCCTGCCTGAAACAGCACAGTGCCCTGTCAGCCAGCAGGTTCCACAGCAAGGGGCAAGAGAACCATTATCTCCGTTACCCATGGAGCTTAACGATGAACATATAAGAAGGATTTTTAAAAAATTAAAATTATGCTTCTATCCGGTAGAACCTCAACATACGCCAGTTCTATATGTGTGATTCTGCTTAGTCGCGCAGAATTTTAAGGGACCACCTGACCACTCAAGTCGCCTGTTTGGGGGCACAAGTACATGTGGTCCCCCACTCCCGCAGCATCTTGAGGATCTATTTCACCCGACCTGTGGCAGTCTCTGTCGCAACGGCACAGCTCAGTTAACAGAGCTAATACGAATGTGCAGCAGGGCCTCACGGAGTATGCCGTATTCAGTTTCCGCCAGGAAAGCCGCAGTTGTGCGCTGTGCATAGACCTCTTATCAGAGTCATGCCTGGTAAGCGACTCGGTGTTGTGCTGGGAAATAAAACAACCATTAAACAACAACAAAAAAACACTCCTTTGTGGTCCCCAAGGTTACCACAGTCTCATTTCTTGAGTGTCTCGTGGAAAATATGAGCAAAGAGACAAGAAGAAAGAGAACTTGCAGGAGCAGGAGAGTGTGTTGGTGGAGTGGGAAGGAAGTGATCAGAGTCTCAGTAATTTACCGTCTTGTCTGCTATAACCGTGCTGTGATAAACACTATCACAGGACAGCAGCGCCGCGTTTCTTTAGTATTTATCCTTGCTGCAGCAGGCCGGCTCGCTCACCAGGGTCCTGTGTGGGAGTGAACTCCAGTGTAGACTGAGTGGCCCTCAGCTGGCCCCCCAGGGACCCCTGAGCCGAGGCGGAGCCGCCCCGGGACTGGTAACGGGAGCCGCCCTGGGAGGCCTGGGTTTCCACGAACATCGGGGTGAGGACTGTGTTCCGGTGATGCCAGGAGGAATCGATGATGTAATCCTAAGGGGGGGGGAGAGATCCCACATCGTTAGGACACAGCAAACCCTGGATCTGCCACTGTGAATGTGAAACTAGATGGCGTACACATGGAGCAAGGAATTTGAAGGGAACACAGCTGGAAAGGGCACAAACGCCGTCGGTTCTCCACAGTGCTTAGCCACTACTCCACAGTACAGCCCAAACTGGGGGGGAGGGGGAGCCCAACAGTAGGGAGGTCCTGTGCTTACGTGGAACTTGCACTCAGAAAGGGGGTACTCGAATATGGCGCGACTGTAGTCGGGGCTGCGGCTGGTCATCTCCAGCAGCAGGTTGGTGGCCAGGCTGAGGTACTGAGCCTCTATCTTGCTGGAGTACAGGGAACGCAGGATCACCAACATTCGCTCCAGGGTTGTTGTAGGTAGACGGGTTTCGTGGCTCCAGAAGTTCCTAACGTAGAGCCTGCAGAGAGGACCGAGAGTTTGGGTTATAACCCCCCTGGGAAACCGGTTTTAATCCTATTCTGCTTGTTGACTGACGCACCCCCTTTGACTCTTCAAGGAGCACTCCCTGAGTCAGCTACTTTTATAAAGTACGGCCTTGTTCTTGGCTTCATCCTTGCCAGTGCTCTTTTGTTCCCAAACGAAACCCAGAGTGTCTTTATCTATTCTTGGATTACAGATAACATTCTTACCTTTTTCTCGGGGCAATTTAGATTCCACTAGAGATATGAGAAATTAAAGAATTAAATGAAATATTAGACGTCTATGTTCAACGTCTATGTATCCCTTGAAGGAAAGGGTCACTGCAAAACTGTAAATATTTAGACATCTCTGCATTCTATACAGAATCCTGCAGTCTGCAAGTAGACTCGGCTACTCGATGACATCTTATTCTGTTTCCTGCAATATTTTAATTGTCACTGACTTCAACTCTCACTAATGATCAAAGCAGCCCTCCTGGTTATTTACATGGGAAACCAAACTACCACGTCAATGAATTAAAGTGTGACTGAGAATACTGTTTGTGAAGATGACAATCACGCAGTCTCCTGCTATCATCCAGAGACAGGCTTCTCAATGGCATAACTTACTGGAGACCTTGGTTTTCGTCCACAAGCCCCTGAAGCAGTGTCTCCTTTGCAACATTTAACATTTCCAAAGAGTCGCTGTCTGACTGGCTCTCGGAGTCCCTGAAAACATCAGACCACATTTCAAACAAATTCAACATTGTACTTTCGTAAAATGCACCACTGGCCAGCTAAGACAGTATTACTTCAATAGTGGTGAAAAGCCAAGAGATGAGGTTCACCTGTAGTTGTCATGAATCCACATTAGGATGTCGTACATCCTCTCTCTGCACACTGGAGAGGGGTGTGTAACGAATGATGTCACTGCACCTAACATCTCCCGCATTTCAACAGGTTTCAGCTTAGCCATGATCTTGTGTATAATATCCAAACACACTCTCTGCCTTGCCTCATCCCTGTGAAAAGAAAAAACATTCTGCATTTGCCTGTAAGCAATAAGCAAAGTTATACAGCACATATATAAAACACATTTTGCCACTATATGGAATTCCTCAGACTATTTCAAGTCTTGTTTGAGGAGTCTCCTGACTCAGCTGGTAAGGGTGCTTGTTCAACTGGGCACAATCAGTGCTCTATTATCAAGGGTTTGAACCTGAGTCATGTTACTGACGGAGACTGGGATTTTCCCAGGTGCAGGCTGATCTCTATGATCTTGGATTCAAGTCTGGGCTATGTCATTACCTGAGGGATTTACCCGAGAACGGGCTGAGCTCTATGATCGTGGATTCGAGCCTGGGTCATGTCACTTACTGACTCTGACTGGGACTTACCCAAGCTGAGCTCTATGATCATGGATTCGAGCCTGGGTCATGTCACTAGCTCACTGTGACTGTGACTGGGGTTTACCCAAGAGCAGGCTGAGCTCTATGATCATGGATTCGAGCCTGGGTCATGTCACTTACTGATTGTGACTGGGACTTACCCAAGCTGAGCTCTATGATCATGGATTCGAGCCTGGGTCATATCACTAACTCACCGTGACTGTGACTGGGGCTTACCCAAGAGCAGGCTGAGCTTTATGATCATGAATTCAAGCCTGGGTCATGTCCTTATTGACTGTGACAGGGATTTGTTCAAGTGCATTTATTAAACTAAAATGAGAAAACAGGTTATTTCAGATTCTGGGTGTCAATATATTTGTACATTTTTCATTGAAATGGTTTCTTTAATGTGCATTAAAAAATAAAATGGTAAAAGACTGTTGTCAATATTATGAAAAAAAAGTTACAAATACAGGACAAAACCCAAGCGTTTCCTCCAGCTCCAATTCATACAGTATTTCAAGCACAGGCAGCTCACCGATGGCTCATGACCTGAGAGAAATCCTTGCTCTTCAGCTGCAGGTATACATCAGGGATCTCTTCAGCTCGGCTCAGGATGCACTCCAGGCAGTGCGTCTTCAGCACGCCGTGCATTTTGGGCAACAGGAAAAATACTGCATTCACAAACCTTTCAAAACCCAGATGTGAAGATTAGACATCGATGTGCAAGCTTTAACTGATATCTGAATCACAACTTAAGTAGCCTATATTAGGATATTGAAAAATCATTGCTATACATTACTTTAAACCTGTCTAACTTTTCACACTTATTAAAACATGCACATCAAAAATGAAAGAAAGTAAAGATCCTTCTTCAAATAATGAGATTCAGAATTAGGACTTAAAAAGGACAATTAGGTGGTAACATAAGATTGCTAACTGTGCAAATGGAGATTACACAGGTTTATTTAAAACACAACATGGGTAATGCAATATATATGCTCCTTTTCAAAATTCCTTTTGCATTTTACATCTATTTTTTTAGTTCAGATTTAGGGCAAGTATTTTCTTTCCAAGCTTCCTGAAGATGTACTGTACACAAACTTCGGCACAATGGTAATGGATTGAAGGAACTATTCTCAAGTGGCGACCCAAGTTAGAAGTTAAATATGCCATACTTGTTAGACGACATTACATAATCCTTCTTGTCAAGGCCCTGAGAATTCCTTTTTCAGTTTCAGCCATGGAAACGTCTTGTGTGGAACTGCATAAAGAGCTCTCAAAGCTTTACAAAAAAACTTTCCGTAAAACAACAACCATGTTAAGCAACTATGAACCTCTTACCTGTCCATAAATGGTGGAAAGTGTTTCACAACTTTACTTAGGCACACAACAAACTTATCTTCCTTCTCGTTCTGCAGCTTCTTCAGGTGATGTGCCGTGAAGTCGAATATGGGGCCCTCCGATTGCTGATAATTAGACACATGGTTAATCTTCCTCAAAGCAGAGAAGAAAATGGATGATAAATATTTAAGGGCTTCCACGTACCTTCTCCTTCTCAGCCATATACTGCATAACAAGCCCAATGACTTCTGCAGCAGCCACGTGTATGTCTTTATACCTTACGAAGGAGATGTTGTTGGCCAAGGACTTGAAATATCTGTAAAGAAAGAGCCTTTCAAATGTTATCACAATTGTGATGCAATAAGACACTGTACTTGCTTAATAAAAGATACAAATTCTAAACAAAACGTATATTAGTAGTTTGTGACTATTCTTTTGTAGAATGAAGCATTTTAGAACACTTGAAATGCTATCTATAATGTCATCTTTTTTCATTTACTCCTTTGTTGCCAGAAATAGAGATGAAGACAGAAGTGTCCACATTACCTTTCATGTTCAATTCCACAGCTGGGGTCGTACGGCGGCAGATTATTTGCCAGCACAATACCAAGCAACTGAATTCCCACAGAATTGTCCTTGCTGTTGGGATCAGACCCAGCAAACCGATCGAATATCAGGCTGAAAGATGGAAAATGCTGATTCAAGATGCGAGCATTTTACCCAAAAAGAGCTATCTAGTGCAAGAGACTGTTCAATTAGGCAGATACTACAGCTTTGTTGAAAATATTTTTTAGCATTAAAATACAAATACAAGGAAAACAACAGTAAAAGGAGTCCAACGTGTTTAACAGACATGTGGCAAATGCACGTTGTGTGAAAAAGCCATCAACAGTGTGAATGTGCTTTCAAGCATCTACGCTGCTAATCTGAAAGGGATTTATAGTTATGCTGTACTTTGTTAGGGGTATGAAGAAAACACGTAAAAGGGCAAACAAAAACACACTAGGCTGGACAAAAACCTAAATACTGAGTGCCAAAAAACAAGAAACACAGCTATAAAAAATAAACATCATGTACAACATTCACAGCAGTACAGTGAATTTAATTTTTTTTATCCAAACCAAAAGATGAAGTGCCTTAGAAAACAATAAGATGACTCATAATTGCATATTCATACCTATAAGGAACCATGAGGCTGTCCTTCCAGCACTCCACAACTGTTTTAATGATTTCAAGATTGTGTCTGAAGACGGCTCTCTTTTCATGGAAGGCGTTCCTCATTAAAAACTCCAGCAGCCGATTAGCCAGAACTTCATCTTTGGTATCGCCCTTAAAGGGAAAACAAGTGAAACGGAACAAGTTCTGTTCAAGGGTCCAAGTCTTCTGCACTGCTGTTGACAATGCACAGCATTTCACCTTGACATTACCGAGGTGAACATGCACATTAACACTACAGATCAAAATATGCTGCCGCTTGGCACTTTCCTGATAGACAAGTGAGTAACTTGTAATGACACTGGCAATATATTTTTGCTTTTTGTTTGTTAGCCCAGATTTACAGAATAATACTAGATTTGAAATAGAAAGGTGGGTAAACACAGTTATGTCCTCAAGTACCTTGGGGGTGGCGACGCTGGCCCAGGAGAGAACCGTAACAACGATCTCCACCACCATGAAGTGAATCCCTTCACCCCCATTATTCCCAGAGACTACCAGCTGTAGAAGCGGCCACAGCCAGTGTTTGGCATATGGACGGAAGACCTGTCACCAAAAAAAACAAATGTAAGCAGGTATGACTGGATACTAATCTTAGGAACAACACACATTACAACTGATCCTTCCAAATATCCTTCTCTTCTTCTCATCAGTGTGCAATAACTACAGGATATTTGTTAGCCAGATGTGGCAGAGTCATTCGGCAGTATGGAAGTTTCTAAAAGCTACTGTACATCCAAGGTCTTCTCTGGGAAAACACAGCCTTGTACGTCATTGTCTTTGAGGCAGTTTTTGTACAGTTTTCTCTTTTAAGATACTTTAGTCACCTTCACCCTTCAATGTAACCAACCTGCTCTTTGTTGGTTCAATTTTTAGTTTTTTTTTTGTTAAAACCAACACTGTTCCAGATGAACCCAAATATTTGGTCTGCTGAATGCTTTTTTTTTTTATCCTTCCTTTCTATATCTTGTCAGTTTTTCTCCCTCTTAGCTTTTAATATTAAGCCTCTCTGCCACAGCTATAATCTAAATTCTTACACTGTTGGCAGGCCCCTCTCTTCACGTTCTTAATTTCAGAATATGACAGGAGACCAACGTGAAGATTCCCCTGGGCTGTAGGAGCTCTTTGAGTCTTACAAACGTTCTGCTCCTCACCTCCTCCTTGTTCACGATCAGTTTTGCAATGAAGAGACGGATGTTCAACTGAGTGGAGGGGTTCCCCAGCTTCCCTTGAAGAAATTTCATCCAAGGCGGAAGGTCACTTGGTACTGTGCCCTTAAAACAAACATTGAGAAGTTTCAACTTTGACTTAAGTTGTTTACAGTAGCTTAATCACACTAAATCTCCAACAGAAACTCATTGTTTCAGGACTCTGAAGAAGCTTAGCCAACAATGGCGCTTGTTCCCATCAGATGGAGTCGAACAACCCAAATCTCCAATTAAAGTCTGGTGCCATCAGCCAACTGTGACTGGGATTACCTGAGTGACAGTGAGGGAATAGCTTCACTCCTGCCATTGATGCCAACTCTACAGTGGTAACTGTGGGTCTCAGTGTGCAACTATAAGAGCACAGTTTGAATGAAAGAGGGAGACCAACAAATGGCAAATTCAAAACAGGTGCTGCTTCTTCATTTTTGCTATATTGAACCACTACGCTCCTTATGGTTGTTTTCCAGTATGGGATGTTGAACTGCAAAGATATTTCATCAAACGCTTCCTAGTCTAGTCAAGCAGTAAGCGTCCTGTCCAGACCTCTTCCACTTCAGGAGTAATGTTGTTCCTCTGCATGTGGTTGATGAGGACGGTCATGGAGGCCATACATTCGTGTTGGTTGAGCTCATCCATCTCCAGTACCACAACGTCATCTTGCAGAGCCGCTTCTGCTCCGTCCTAATGATAGACACACGCACATGCTGACTGCTAAAGCAACACTTCTCTCCTGGGGCTGAAGCTAATATGCCATTACTTATCAATTTATAAATGCAGTTTATACAAGCTCTTTAATGGGACTTTGTTGAAGCTCCATTACAATGAATGAAACAGGGAACAAATCAGTAACAAGCCTTTCAGTGAAAGGCCACGGCAGGTCCCTTTCACAAACCTGCAAGTGGGCACGGCTTGACGGCAAAAGCACAATAAATCTTGAAGAGCTCAGGAGTTCTTCAGAATCATGTGCAGCTAAAGTTAAAGCAACATTTTAACAGAGGGTCTGCTTTGAGGACAGGAATATAAGGACGAGACTAGGCTAAGGTGGACATTAAGCATCGTTAGAAAAGAGACTAAAAGACAAACAAGAACAAGACTGTGTGACAGAGGAAGCTGAAAGGGGAAGTGGACTCGCCCTCCTCCGGCTCGGCATGGGCCTCGTGCTGGGGTCCTGAGAGCCGTAGCTGAAGCTCTGGACTCCCGTGGAGAAATCGAACTGGCTCATCTCCTCACTGAGACTGCTGTCTGCCATGTAGGACTGTGACGACAAGTAATGGGGCTCCTCTGTGAAAGGAAAGACATGATCCAGGACTCTCATGAAACGCATGAGATGGAATCCATGAAATGAAAGGCACACTTTTACAGAGTAATTAAAGTTTTAAACTACAAAGTTTGTAGTTGTTCCTGTAGATTCACATATAAACAATCCATCCATTTGTGCAGCATCTTGTAGATTTATCTTATAAATTATCCCTCCATTTCTAACCGCTTCATCCAATTCAGGGACCCGGCAAGCAATGGACACAAGGCAGGATACACTCTGGACGGGACACCAGTCCATCACAGGGAAACACACTGACACACTGACACACTAGGGTCATTTTCCCCAGAAGCCAATTAACCTACCAGTATATCTTTCGACAGTGGGAGGAAACCGAAGCACCCAGAGGACACCCACGTGAACAGTGTCAAATTATCAGTGTTAAATTCAAATCAAATAATTATTTCCAACAACAAGTAGTGCACTTCAAGTAGTCTTTATTGGCTTTGATGTCAAATTTTTGTTGGGGGAAAAAAACAACATTTGGTGACTGCTTAAAAGATCACTCAAGTATCTAAAAAACAATTCTCACCTGCGTCCCGATCACCAGCCTCCCTTGCCTCTTTCCGAATAGCTACATACTTTGCTTTCCGTTCAAGAGCAACCTAAAGTAAAAGACTTTACTTAATAACATTTCTATATTAAAAAACATCAACATATACCTTATTAAAGATGTAAAATATGCCCAGCCCAGTTTAGAACACCTTAACAGATTGACATCTTAATGGAAGGAATTTCCCTGTTCTGATTATACTACCCAGATATTTAATTAAGACAGCACTACATATATATATTGAAAATAAAAGGTCTTACCTCTATCTCTACAGGGAATCTGTAGGTCTGCTGTGCATCTATGATGTTCTCGAAAATAAACTGATTCTGAAAATATAAAGGATAAAGGAATCTTCCTAATTAACCTAATTTTACTTGCGGCACTTTATCATGAATTGTTTATCATACATGTTTATGCAAAGAATATTGCATTTTAAATTTGTTCTATTCACAAATGTTTAGACAGGGCAGTAGTACGAAATGAAACAAAGCACATCTTGGCAAACAATGGCGAATAAGTAAATAACAGGACAGAGGTTCTACCTATTACACACGAGATTCTAACACAAAATATTCTGTATTTACAAATATGGATGGACCGGAACAGGAGTATATGCCTGTAACTACGTCTGCTGGTTTCAGCTGCATTCTTCTCTCACTTTTCTACAGCAAAAACATCAAGTTTCAAGGGCAAGTGTTGGCAACTAATCGGAAGGTTGCGAGTTTAAATTCCAGGTGAGATACTGTAGCTGTTCCTCACCTCACCTGATCCAGCAACATACTAATCTGTAGGAATGGAGGTAACGTCGCTTAGAATAAAAGCAACAGCCAAACTTAATCTCTTTTTATGTATCAATTCTAACTCGGGTCTAGCACAACAATTTCAAACTGGATGTTACAACAGCGACCTTAAGGAATCACCAGCAAAGGGTGAACTCTTAATGTCCCATCACAAGGCTGGAAGAGCAAGCAGTCCTACCTTCTCTGGCTTCTCAGTAAAGAGGAAGCCCTGGTAGAACTTGGTCTCGTTGAAGCTACAGCTGATGACGGCGATGGCACAGTTGTAAGCGGCACAGTGGTACTGTCTCCTTTCCTCCAGCAGCTGCGTCTCTCCTGCCATGTTCTCAGTGTAGGCCTCAAAGCAGGACCTGTGCAACACAACGGTACTTGATACTCAGGGTACTGTGTATACAAGTCCCTGTGATCTCAGTAAACAATGGAAGGCTCAAAAACTGAGCATTCAGTCCATGGAAAATGATGGAATAATAATAACAACAATAATTCCTTCAATTTATATAGCCCTTTTCTAGAAACTCCACTCAAAGCACTTTACAAGTAATGGGGACTTCCCTCCTCCACCATTAATGTGCAGCCCCACCTAGATGATGCGACAGCAGCCATAGTGCACCAGTACACTCACCACACACCAGCTATAAGTGGGGAGGAGAACGGAGTAATGAAGCTAGTTCAGAGATGGGGATTATTAGGAGGCCATGATAAAGGCCAAAGGAATATTTGGGCAGGACACAGGAGTAGCACCACTACTCCTTTCGAGAAACACCCTGGGATTTTTCATGACAGTGAAACACAGCTCTTGCTCAGCCAGTCTAAGCTGTTCTCCATTTTAGTTGTGAACATCTAACTTGAAAGAAATGTGTGAACAGCCTTAGGGCATGGCCTCGGTTTTGTGTGTAACCACGAGACATGCAACATGACACTTTGGTTACTCCACAAAATGAGAGAAACAAGATTTAATTATTTTTTTATTTTGTCTCATATGTGACTTTTCTAAAATCGTGGCCCATCCATTAATGTCCGCAGGCACTCATAAGGTCTGGATGAGAAACGCCGATTAGAGCTTGGGTTAAAGCAGTGCTACCCCCTAGTGGCAAGAAATGTTGGTACTGCTTTCCAGAACTTTCCCAGAAGAACTTCACGCTAGGTCTTCTCATAGTTTTTCTTAACTTTTGAAGAATATACAATATTCTTCATAAATACTACTAATTAATAAATGAATAGTATAAGCAATAGTACTATAGTTCAATATTTTAGCTAAAGAACCTAGATCACACTATTTGTTATGTGAAATTACAAATGCATCATAGACACTAAAATCACTCATTACCTACATCTGCAACGACCTAGTCTAACTGCAGCAACTGATAAGAAAATATTATGTGTTTATGAACACAAACACCAGATTCCACTGAACATTTATAGATGTATTTAATTTATAATTTTCTAATAAGATAAAGTCTAATAGTGAAACGATGTGTGAAAGTATTATGATCGTGCCGGTTATCGCATGTCACTGCGACACTAGGGCGAGTTTGTCATTTGCTCTACCCAAAGGCTGCCAAGACAAAAAAATTAAGAGAGTTTATCAGTCATGACACTAGACAACACCTGCCTTCTATCTTCCACTGGCAACAAAACGTTCAAACAACGTTAAAAGATTTTGTCTTGGAAGCGTTTTGCCAATTTTCTGCAAACTGCGATCCTTACTTCAAGAGGGTCTTTGAGAGTTCATTCCCTTCAGCTGCTCTGCTGGGGCCACAGAAGCCCTGGTTGATCTTGGATTCTTTGGAGTAAACCTCTTCCTTTGGCAGGCGTGAGTACAGAACCTCCAGCAGCTTGTAACAGCCATTCTTCTTTATGAGCTGGCCCTCGAACATCGCCTCATTTAACTGGAAAGTGGAAATCACTCACTGATTAATCAAAGCAGCGCAAACATTCTGGGGCGTTCTTGACTGGATGTTGGTTGTAGGCCATTCAAATGAAACAATACCACAACAGGCTTCCAAGATGCGAGATGACTGCTTTTAATAGGAATTATAACCCACTGCCAAACGATAACAGTTGTAAATCTGAAACAGACTGCATAATACATTCACCCAGCGACACAACACAATATGGTCTCCACAAAACAGGCCATTCAACAGATGCACTGCGATCTGGATTGGCACAACAAAGCCGGGGCAGCTCTCTGTACCTTTGTGAACCTGGCCTGCAGCGTTTCCATGACGCTGGCGATGGTCTTGCAGAAGAAGCCGCGCAGCGCGTCCGAGCTGCAGTGCAGGACGAGGGTCAGCAGCACACGGTCCAGCACTGCCTGACGCATGGCGCCGGAGGCCAGCTCTCCGGCCTGGAACATCTCGTACACGGTCTCCAGTAGCACCACCTGCCGCTCGCAGCCTGACCTGGATGCGCACAGAACGAGGCCCTCAGGACAGGCATGATCAGGGCGGCGTTCTGGGGGCCGAGAACGCCCGAGATGCACAGCAACACGTTCATCAGCAGATGGCCTCTATTATTTAGAAGGTCCAGAAAAAAGAAAACTACATCTCGGTTCCCCCCTCCAGATAGATTTTTCCGATCTGTGGCTATTCCCAAGACTTCCTTGACATCAATCAAGTTTTAAAATCTGGTACTTTAAACTGTGTCCTTAAATAATAAGAGTAATACCTTTTGGTCTACTGTAATGTGTCACTGAATACACTGATAATACAAGTTACAGGCTAAAGACATTCTGGATTCCTACTCTCAGTGAAAAGTCATATGAATTAAGAATATTCCGGGTGGCCTCTTGAATGCCGCAATCGGTAGTCGAGCTCTCCTGAGCTCTGTGGTTGCAGGTCTGAGCCCAGGTCATGCTCATTGTGACTGGGCTTTCCCAGGAAATGGGGTACAACTGACCTGAGCGTCATTGAGGTTAGAGTGTAATTAGAGGGCCAGAGCTCTGCTGGCTCTCTGTGACCCCTACGGCCTCCCAGGCACCTCTCTGCTGACAGAGGCTGAATCTGGCTGCTCTGTCTGTGATGTGTTAAAACAGAGATCTTACAAAATGTTGGTAATAGCTTGTTAAATTCAAAAGGCAACGTTGCGAGATATTTGAGTATACGTCAGACATCACCTCCTTGCAATTCTCTTAAAACAGGCCTGGAAAAGTTCTTCTGTGACGTGCTTCTTATCCCGGCAAAGTATTTCCGCCATTAACTTCAAAAGCATTGGATTCTGGGACAGCTCCAAAGCATCTAAAAACTAAATATGAAGAAACAATAACAGTAAAAAGTAAGAATCACTAGATGAGCAGTCACATCGGTGAGTAGTTACAGACTTCAAATACTGGTCATATAAAGTGCTAACAAATGAAAAAGATCTAGATCTGGGATGTGCAATCCTGGTCAAGGAGGGTCAAAATGTCTGCAAGTTTTCTAGGTGTCTTTAGAACAGCAGCAACTGAAGTGCTAGGAGAAGCTGTTAAAGTGGGCCAGGTAACTATGAACCAGGTGGTTTGGCTCATTAGTTGAGCAGGAATGAAGACCTACAGACACAACGTCCTGATATCAGGACCAGAATTAGACACCCCTGCTCCAAATGACCAAGAAAAACGATTAGATTAGATTTACACACAGATACTGTGAATACAACATTGAGGTATCTTTGCCTGAATCATAATCATTTTCATGACTGATTGCATGACTAAAACGCGACAATATTTCCATAAAGGAGAACATGCATGTCTTTGTAAGTATTCAATGTTGTCGTCCTCACATCATCCAAACAGGACTGCAGGTTCTTAATTTCCATCCATGACTGACAGTGTGGTGGGGGAATGACTGGGGACTGTATTTAAGTCTCTTCCTCAAAATACTTTAAAAAGTTAGTGCAGGCTGCTTTTTTGTTAATCCAGATGAAATGGAAAGGATCCCATAACAGTGGTACAGGAGTTACCTTTTTAATTGTGTCGACATAGTTGTTGTAGCGCAGGGTGCCCTTGGGGAACTCATCAGAGGAAATGGGGAAGTGAGAGGCGACTAGCATTTCCAGGGCTCTCTGAAGTTCAGCCAGGGTGCTCTCGGGCAGGTTGGTGAAGAAAGGGAGGATGATCAAACCATGATTCTGTATTAAATAATGAATATCATCACATTTTGTGGAGAGCACGTTGTAGATACTCCTGTGCATTAAACTACAGGTGTCAAGAGTCGCAGATCTAAATGAAGTTGCAGAGTTATCTTGGGTTCTTACTCTATTGGGTTTTTTTTTTCCTCTTTCACAACCAGATTTGAAAACAAGAAATGAAAATCAACAGAGAAATGACAACTGAACAGGACAAAAGAATAGAATGTTGTACCTTGAGATTTAAAGGCAATGCAGAGTCAGTGATTAAGGCAGTGTAGGTGGTGAACACTGCTTCAAAAGCTTCATGGTTCACGTTAAAACAGACCGAGGAATCAATCTGTGGCAAAAAAAACAACAACTATTAAATAATATCCACAATGAAATCAAAAGTACAGTTCTAAAAACTTTACCATAGTTCTACAATTCTAGAAAAGTTAGGTTAGATGTGTAAGTGATTTGCTAAACTTTGGTGAAAGAAGCAATGAAAGAAATATTCAGATACAGTATTACAAATGACTCCTTATTCTACCTCTTAACAGCTGAATATCAGTGCATATTTTACAACGGGTGTCAGCTGAACACGGGTTGTGTTATACAGTTCACAGGAGTCAGTACCTGCAGCACTTTGGACAGCAGAGTCAGGGTGGCCATTTTGCTTTCTGATGTGGAGGCAGGGCTGCTCCACCAGGAGCCCAGGGAGCTCCAGGCCTGCGTCACCCTCTTCACCAGCTGGCGGCCTTGGCTTTCCCTCACGGAGCGATCCCGAAAACTCTGGTCCAGCATGCCGTTCAGGACAGCGCTCACCTGCTCAGCCGCGCAACAGACAGCACATCACTGAGCGCCCATAAACGAGCTCCCCACCCTCACTCTGGAAAGTCAGCCCATCAGTATTTTTCTAGCGCGCATTTCAAAAGCAATGTCTTCATCAGGGATCCCTCTGTTCTCTTTAGAATTGCAATCCCTCTTTTCGATAAAAACCGAGTATGAAAATTCAGCTTTGAGAACCTCACAGCGCAAAGAAAAGATTTTGGTGTTTTGGTGTTTACGCCTTGATTTTACACACCATTTTTTACATCTCACCATTTTGGGATTTTCTGCTGCTAGTGACATGAGCTGTGGCACAGTGGAGTCGAGACTTCCGAGCAGCTCGATGTTGATGGTCTGCTGGAAGAGGCTGTAGAAGTACTCTCCGTGAGAAAAGCTGATGAAGTTCTTATCTGATGTTCCGGAGAGTGGCACCGACAGCATGATGGTATTCAATAGGAGGCTAACCAACTGCTCACTCTGAAAGGAATTCAAATCAGGATTCAGCATTAGTTTATATAGTGATAAAAGATTAGTAATGCACATAATAACCTGCTATGTCCTATTTGTTCTACATAGTAGATTATAATTAAGACATACTTACAGTATGTACGTAGGGTATTACAATATACTGAGACCTGAGATTCTTGTTCCTGATAATATATTGCATAAACTGGAAAAAGAATGTATATGTAGTGGACAATCATACTGAATGTTAACAGCATTTCTTAAAATATATCCCAAAAGAACAGAACACATTCTAACATAAGAAACAATCTCCACTAACGAAAATGCGGCAGCCATAAAGAGGAGCTCAACGGGTTCAAGTGAGACTGTGCCAACACAGTGGATTAGGCTTCTGACAACAACCTTCTTTTGTGTGAAAATGTCCCATCATGGAAATCATACTTGATAATAAAAAGTGTCTGTACTCTGAACATTGCAGGATTAATCCTTGATGTATAAAAATTGGTTCCTCGCTATATTTTGTGCTACAGAAAGTGCAATATATGTTGTTTTTATGGTAAGATAATTTGAACCTATACCTTTTGGTAAAAGGTCATAAAATCTAATATTAAACAAAAACTTACTATGTTGTTAAGACTGTCACATTTTCCAACTGTTTTTTTTTTTATTAAACTAAGGGAGACATGATCATATACCATATTATTAATGGTGGTCAATGCTAAACATGAAAACACTCCCCACTCAGAAAAATAATTTGTAACTAAAAACTATTATTAGACATTTGTTTCTCTCTTCTCTGAGAGTGGGGTCTACATGCTGTCTTCGTATTTGGATGAAACAAATATGAGTTACACAGCCCACGTAAGGCAGGGAGCAGTAGGTAACAGGAAGACCCCCACCTGCCCTCCCAGTGAAAAGGCCAGCTGGAGGAGCCCATCTGCCAGCCTGCGGCTGCTGACGTCCATGGACGGGAGGGACTTCTTCTCGTCTCCTGGAGCGATCCCCTTGTACACCACCGAGAGCAGCTTGGACCCCAGGGACAGGCCAAAACTGGCTGCCTGCTCGAAAGCACAAATGGCACGGTCTGGTTCCCGACAGCCTAACTGCTGACAGCAATACAGCCCTGGCATATCACCCATGACATATTAGACCGAGATTACAGATTATAATTCTGAAACAGGCCAAGGACAAAAAAATCTATTCACTGCTCTGTATTGGGATGATTTAAAGGTGAGTCGGTCATGCAATAAGCAAAATAATTCTTTGCTCAGATGGCCACACTTCCAGATCCCCCTAAATGTACTGCATACTGCATAGCTTTATCTATTAAATCAACCATCTAAGTACTAAATGTGCTAAAACAGTTACTGCAATAAAGAATGCTGCTATGAAACCCCCCCTTCCCATTATGGGCACAATGTAGTTTCCAAAGATGACCTTTACCTGGCTCTGTAGGGTGGAATTGAGCAGCCCAGCTCTGTGAAGCTGCTTGCAGGCAGAGAGGACCAAGGCCAGCCTGGCGTGCTCAGACCGGGCCTCAGAACCGTACAGGTCCACAGCACACAGCTGCTCCACACTGGGGGAAGATGGAAAGAATCAGCTTTGAACTCAAATACACACAGAACTGGTCTCAGACTCCTATCAAGCAGAGAATTTCATGTGCGCCACAACAGCACACACAATACTAAAAACTGCTACAGGTTCAAAGATCATACTGTCTCTACTTATTCTCACACTTTCTTGAGTTATGAGCAAAACAGAAATATATGATTGAGAATAAGCATATTACTGAGGATAAAAATTTACAACTAATAGTGGTCAAATGAAAACGTTCGTTTAGCCTGAAGTGTCCAAATCCATGTTGCTGATAGCATGTTTTTTACTTGTAAAGAACACAGTGACACCACCATAAACACATGTGAAATTTCAGGGATGAGTATTCATCTGCTACAGTTTGGATTTCAGAAATTACAAAAACAGCCTCATAAATGTCAGTTGTGTCATAAATGTAATCATAAATAAAACTGATCTGTTGTAAAAATGAACTAAAAATTCCTGTTACATTAAAGCAGCATGTTTATAACCAAGCTTTGGATTTATGGCACAAAAGATTTAATACCATATGGTTCTATTTATTCCTAGGAGGAAAAAAAAGAAAAAACATTTGAAGTGATAGTCACAGAACCAAAATTATTATAGAAGTTCAACATTTTCAGCGTGACTCATTCACTTTTTTCTTCTTCTTCGAGGTCCTTAAAAAGATGGAGTAAATGTCACTAACTTTTGTTGGGAGACTCTCCTCCTGATGCTCTGTTCCAGCTGGGTTTTGTAGGGAGACTTCAGCAGAGCCTTCAGGATGTGCACACAGACCTCTGGGAGATTAGTCATCACCTCCATGTCTGCCATGTTAAACCCAATGCTTGAGGGCTCACATACTGTGGTGGCAATGAGCTCAAAAAAGGTCAGGTGTAGGATATCCCTTTCCAGAACCTGAAAAGGCAAACACCTGTGAACTATGGTTGGAACACGTATTCTATTATGAAGGCAAGCACATCGAGCATAGTTTGCATAGTAAAAAAAAAATCTCCTGATTCCATTCCTGTTTATAAATAAGTTACTTTCAAGACACCCATTTGTATTTAAAAGAATGCTGGTCTTGAGGAGCCTCCTCTATCTAGATCTTACAGGTTACCCTATAGACTTTTGTCAGCTACTGATTAATGGAAAACGAATGTGTTTCCTATGAGGATAATTAAGCTCCTCGAGGTGCACTAAATAACTAAATAGTTGCCGCTCCCATTGCCATCTAAATTAGATCGTCCCATGTCTTTTGAGATTGTGGTTTAGTAATGACCCACACAACCTGTTGTGATGGGGTTCTTTGGGAATGGAGGGAGAGCCCCTGTTTTAGTGAAGAGAAAAACAGAGCCCCAAAAAATGTTTAAATCTTTTGTGCCCTGGGAGAAAATCTGGGGGGGGAGGGGCAAAACTATTTATGCCTAAATAATTTGGGTGAATTTGCCTGTATCTGTTCTTTACCTTCCAGAGATCCTGCGAACACTTGTCGAGGACCATGGTGACAAATTCCATCAAGCGCACTATGATTGTCCCCTTACAGTAGTTATAATCTTCCCTCTCTCTTGGGCTGAACAGGGATCCCTCAGACCCTGACGAGAAACAGCGCTCGGCAGCCGAGATGTCCTGCATGGTCAGTTCCGCTATGAAGAACCCAATGGCTTTCAAGAAGCTGGACTTCTCTTGCGTGCCTGGGAGGGAGGGGGGGAGAGGGGACGAAGGAGAAGGACACATCATGGCAGCGGCACCTCCAGGAAAGCGGACGCAGAGCGGAAGGAGATGAGAAAGCACTTTGCTCACCCAGTATCTGCTGGGGCTTGACGAAGTGCAGCCCGATGAAGGTGTTGTAGCAGTCGAGGGCGGCCAGCAGCAGGTCCATCCACTGCAGGGCGGCTCGGACGCTGAAGGAGCCCTGCAGGTCCCGCAGGGTCGCCTGAGAGAGGAGGCCCGACGAGTCTCCGTCGCAACGCCCCGCGCCCTCGAACCTGCGGATCAGGAACCCCTCCCCCTCGTCCTTGAGGATGTCTTCCAGCCAAACCGCGGGGTTTTTGCCTCCTGCACAAACGGGGAAGTGGGTTTCAAGGGATGAAGAGGGAATCGCGCGCCGCTTCCGCGGAAATTTCCCGCACATCGTCTGCAGTCAAAACCACGAATCCAGTGGCGAGAGACACCAACGGCGCATAATAAAAGCACACTTGTCTGCAGCATGTTAGTTACCTGGCAGCAAGGGCACAAATTCGTAAAACAGTTCCATGCACTTGTGCCTGCACTCCGTTTGAGGACGTCCGCACTGTACCAGCAGCCACATGACTACGTCAGTCAAACTCACGGGCTTGTCTGGAGGGAAACCCCTGGCAATACAAGAAAAAGCCACAAGGTAACGAGCAAAGACTTCAAACCTGGTCTTGGAAATTGTAGAAATAAGAGTACTCACTTTACATGCTAATATTTTCCCTTTAATCTTTTAATGGGCTTTAGTAATCGCACAATACTTCAAAATATTTTTTTATTGACATAAAAAATAAGAAACTAATTCTTGTCCAAGAACTGCGTTGTGAGTTAGCGGAATGTCTAACACGTCACTGGATAAAAGAATATTTAACCCCACTGCTCACAAGACTAATAAACCTGCAAACCTGGGCACACGTCTCCTTGAGCTCTTATTAAGAGTTGCAGCCTTATGCTTGATGATTCTCTTCAGGTGGTCAATGGCACCACTGCACTGTTGTAACGTCCCTGGGGGAGGGACAGATTCAGGTCAGTAAAACGAGACATATTATCACAGCTCAGCAGAAACACGTAGAAGAGTAAACCAGGAAAACAACTGACCTAAAGACTTTTCATCCGAATGCGCAAGAGCGAGGCTTTCCACAAATATAACCAGAGCTTCGAAGACAAACATGTCCACCAAAGAACTCTCCTCTCTGCAAAGAAACAGATAAGCTGTCAAATTAAAGACATTTACCTTCAACAATGTCTTTAATTTGTGCCCTGCTGAAATTAAGTCATGTTGAAAATATATTTGATATTCGTAAGAGGTTAAGGCAGCACAGTGACATGGCAGTCTTGTCAGCCAGTCAGTTTCTCCTAAAATCCCCTACTTTTTGGTTTTAGAGAAAATAAACATTGAAGGTTAACCCATTAGCTCACATTTTCACAGCGACTGTATTGCATCTATTCTTTTTCAAGGTAATTACTATTAAATTTGCCATCTGATAAGTCAGAATTACTGTATCTTTATAACCCCAGTTAAGAATAACTATGAACAAAGGCAATTAAAGTAAACAAAACATACAATCTAAACATCAGTACGTACAGTAATGTGACGTTTTCCCGAACAGGAAATGTAGGAAACGAGCTAGTTTTAACCTGAACTGCTTGTAGATGTTATTAAAGGCCAGGGCAGCTCCCAGCCTCTTGAAGACATTGGGATGCAGGGCAAGGCTATAGAGCCGTTTGAACAGAGACTTGGTGTTCGCTGGGCTCTTCTCCTGTTGTTTTGGGGTCGTCTGCTTGATTGACCACTTCAGAAACTCCTGAATGCACTGGCCACAGAAGTCCCGCAAAGTGCTGTCCACTGGATCCACTATGCCATCCTTTCAGTGAACCAAGGAGAGCTTATTAAAATGCAACACTCTCCAGAAAAAAGGTGCAAAAATGTCTCACATAACATATGGGGTAATACTACAAAGGAGAAGTGTCTAATTCAGAAGGACGTGGTAGCAATCTGAAACACTTTAGAACTGGACTGAAATGCAACATGCCTGGTCTCATTTTCTTAGATGGCACAGTTATTCAGGGCCACTTAAATAGGGTGCAAACCTACAATATGGATAAGTTCAAGAAAAACAGAATAGAACAAATCAAAATACCCAATCACAAAGATAAATGACACATCATTACACTAAATCCTCGCTTTAACAGACCTTTTGGATTTAATAGACAAACTCTGGTAAAGAGGGGTGATGTCCGAAAAAGGCACATCGGTAGTGCTGTGTTGTGATCTGTAGCCGATACACTGGCCAAACAATAAAACTGGATTTTGAATGTGGTGATGGATGGCTTTGGATATTTTCTAAACATCACGGTTGAGTGAGTAGAAGAACCTATGGTGAAGATTTAAGTCAACCTACTGAAGACACAGAACTGTTCCGTCAGAAATTGAATAAATTGCTCCAAGATGAATGCAAATTATCCCAACTGTACAATCCTGACAAGACTTGTCTCTTCTGGGTCCGCTCCCAGAAAATACTCAAGCACTAGACGGCAGGACGTGAAATCAGCAGGGAAAGGAACTCCGTGTACAAATGCTGACACCTTACACAGACATGACATCTGTATCTGTCAGCAAGTGACAGAGACTGAGGGTTATCAATAATATAATGAATGAACTTCCAGTTTTCTATTACCAGTCCACCGAAGTTTCTGACACTTTTTCTTGCCAGTAAAGCGATTTTTTTAGCTTAACATATCGCAAGAGCAAATTAATGAACAACTGGCAATACTGGACATCCCATTCCCACTGTTTATCTGGTAAAGTGAGAGAATACTTTACTGTAATACCATACAATACAATGTATTTATATAAACTTTACAGTGCAGTGATATATGGATAGTGCAGATAGGTATTAATACACCTAGAGAGCATATGTAGCAATTATATAGAACAAATGTAGTGTATATGTTTTCTTCTCACATAATAGCATATTTTGTGGCTGAAAAAACAACATTTGTGATTTAATGGACATTTAGCAATAATGGACACCTCTTTCCGACAGTGCATTAAACTGAAGAAATGTGGTCGTATTCAACACCAGACAATTACTTACCAGAATGGCTTCCAGAATAGCCACTGTGTCCTGGCTCTCAAACTTTCTGTTGTTGGTGAACCAGTGAATGAGTTGCATGACCAGGGGCTCGTACAGCTGTCTTGTCACCTGGAGCAAAACGCACATGAGACACCCAGATACCTTCGAACATATACTTGCACATCCGCATACTGACCAGGATTACTGAAGGTTTTTGTATGAAACACATCATGCACAGCTGAAGCAAGGGACGCAAGGCGACAATTTTAACATCGCACTGTGCTGTTCAATTCGCACAGAAACCAGCTGAGTTCGCTCAGTGTAAGTTACCTGGTCGACATCACAGGCCAGCTGCAGCAGTACAGGGAAGATGCGCTTGTGCAGCTTGTACATGGGAGGAGAGGACTTCTCTCCCTCAGGGATCTGAGAGCCCTTCCCCAGCATACAGACAACCACGCTGTGCAGGAGCTCGCAGGCTGCCACCTGTGGAGCACCAGAGGTACTGCAGGTCACCCAGCACAACCGTTATATACAGTAGGCTTCTTACAGCCTATCTTCATACAGCCACCAAATACCTGCATGTAGTGCCTGCAAATAAAGTCTCATCTTCAAGAAAATCTGTGACTTGTCTAAAAAACAGCACCCTAAAAATGAGATACAGAAGAACACAGGAATGGTAACAAACAAGGGGAGGTCATTTAGTGAGTCATTCATTTTGAATAAATAAAACTCTCCAGTTAAATTTAATTAAATTTGAACCAAAACGAATTTTCTTAGTTGTTTCATGAATTCCAATGTTTTTTTTAAAACTTACAATTGTAAAACAAGATCATTAATGCAGAAAATGGTATTAGTTTAACACAGATATTAAATGCTTTTCCAGGTACATATACTGGAAAACAGAAATAAAACTAGTAACCTTTAGAAGGAATTGAAGGACATAAAACAGACATTAGGGTAAATGATTTGAGCATTGAAATAGGTACTTTTGTAACCTTTAACAGAAATGTAAAAAATACTCAAGGAATATCAAATATAATACTGTATTACAGATACCTTCACTAAAAAAACAGGTTTTAGGATTGAGTGGCAATTCTGGAATATTTTACTAAACCACCTGGACAAAAATGATCTTCTCAGGTGTGAAACGTTTTTGTTACCCGCGGGGCTTTCTGTTGGGGAACTATAAATTTCAGGTTGCAGCCTGTGAAGTTTCGGCCTTTTAGAAGACTGGCTAACAATCAGTTTGCTATATTACAAGATCACTTATATATGGATTCATCTGGCTCGTTCGTTTTTAATTTCATTACACAGGAGGTCAATGACTTTTAACTGGAGGGTTGCAGAATTCCCAACCAAATAAAAATGACAAACAACCCCAGGGGGGGTTTTGAAACATCCGAAACTAAAATTATCCTCAAACTTGGATCTCACCTCCCCTCTCCTTTCAATGATTGACTCATCTTCTTCTAAAATCTCTCCACCTGCAGATTTCACCTGCCCACACCACTCCTCCTGTTCTCCTTTAGTTTGGACACTCACAATATGCCCATTTCCCTGCTGCGCCCTGCCCCTTCCTACCCACTCTGACGTTTGTTTTCCTACGCAACTTTCCCTCTTTGCCTCACAACTGAAGAAGGCTCCACAGCCTAAACTTTGCGTTTCTGTTCTTTAGCTTTCAGCACAGAATGAACTTTTTCCTTTGCAGCCTATGCATGCTGACGCAGCTACCGACTTGACAAAAAACAACAGTTTTGTCATTAGCCATAAAAAAGAGAGTTTTGTTCTTATTATAACGCAAGCCAAAATGCAAGAAGGAAGCCAGGAACCCTTAAATACTTTCCTTTTGAATTTCAGCACCATTACAGTTGTGTATTATAAGGTTGTGTCTCAATTGACCAAAACTTGGCCACGCATGGACACGCAGAACAGACAGTGCTCAAGCTGAGTGAAAGGCAACACCTGCAGTGTGTTCCCTTGCTCTCTAATCCCTGATGGTGAAGTCAAGAGCAATACTGTACTTTTGTCTGCCGGTCGCTTGTGGAGAGAGCCAGTTCCGTGATGCGAGGTAGGAAAGCGTCCAGGTAGATGACCGGTTTCATATCTGCGAACGGCACTGCAAAAGTGAGGCGCTTCTCTGAATCCCACGCCACGAACTTCTTCATCATTTCTTCAGCAGAAGCGGCTAAAACAACAAGGATATTTTACTATGTACTGTGAATACAGTTCTCCTCCCCCCATGAAATACAAAATACTGAATATATCCATCCATTTTCTGCTTCCTTCAATTCAGGGTGGCAGGTGAGATGGGGATTATAAGGAAAAGGGGCTGAAGGCAGGGTACACCCTGGACACGATGCCAGTCTTTTGCAGGGCAGACTGACAAAGACACTTATGCTCCTCCTCATAGCAGGGCCAACTAGCCTACCAGTATGTCTTTGAACTGTGGGGGGAAACTGGAGCACCAGGAGGAAACTCACACAGACGTGGGGAGAACACCTGCAAAAATTCAACCTTTGAAAGGGGTGAAAGTGAGAGCCATCAGTCACACCTGTTTCTATGAGTGCAGAGAGACAGGCGGCAGAATCAGGTAAAAGTAACTCACCTGTAACGAGGCTCCTGTTGAGCTGCCCACCCAGGTGCCCAAGCAGCCTCACAACTCTGCGCCTCACTACAGCGCTGGGAGAGTCTTCAGCCTGTGAGGAGCAGAGCAAAGTGTCATTTCGGATCCTGTTACTGGATCAAGAGAGCAGCGCTGACACAAGAATGGCTGAGAATCTCGGAGGCTTGCTGCAAGAGTCTTTAATTCAGGCTTCGCTTAATAAATACATTAAGCAGAAGTATTTTTTCCCACCAGCTCTTGGAGGTTAGATCAGGGCCGCAGGGGCGCCTATCCGGCCAAGCGAGGGAAGAATGGTAGGATACGCTTTGGAGGGGACACCACGATCTCAGGGCTTGCACAGACATAAACATAGAAATCCCCAGGCTCAAACCAGGACCAATTTTCCCAGAAGCCAATTAACTTACCTGTATGTCTTTGGACTGTGGGAGGAAACCAGAGCAAACCTGGGGAGAACATACAAACTCCACACAGACAGCACGCCAGGTCCGGACCTGAACCCAGGGCCCAGGCAATACTAACCACTGCACCGCTATGCCACCCCATCTGAATCTGTATTCCCGTATTTACAAATACGGTCATGATCATCAGTTTACACACGGGAATGATATTTATATTATTCGCCTGCTTTAGAAACTGCATTTCCCCCAAAGACAGCCCTGCTTTGCTAATTACTCCCTTTCTGCAACTGGCCTCTAACTTTCAACAATCCCTCCAAAACAAACAGTGGAAGATTCTACTTTCATGGGTTACATTTGGGTTACCCAACAACTCTAAAAACAAAAAGCAGACGTCGATGCAATATGGTTTCAGGACATCTGCCATCTTGGAAAAGTATTTTAATCGACCAAATATTAGTGACACCACAGCCAAGGTTACATCAATGGACAAAGCCAGACACTGGCCAGAAAAACATACTAGCTAACAAACTTGATCACACTTCACAGTATATTTTTTGCATATATATTGGTTTGCAGAAGACAATGAACAGATGAAAACAAAAACTGAATGTTTCCCAACTATTAAACTATTGCTAATGGAGCAGTAACTGCAGCACATTTACAAAACACAGTATGTAATGTCTTTCTCCCATTTGTTACAGTGCAATCATTACCATCGAAAGGTGCTTGGTTCTCTTCAGGAGCCTCAGAAGAACTCTGCCATAACCTTTCTCCGCACCACTGGACAGACACATCACCTCCCAGGTATTCTGGTCACTGCCTGCAATCACAGAACTTCTCAGTAACCTACACACCGTCCGTCAGGGCCACAGGTCCCCCAGAGGTGAGATACCAGAGGATCCTCCATGATCTCACACATTCATATTTCAATATCACGGAAAAGGCAAAAAAAAAAAAAAAAAGAATTATTTTACGAAACAAAACCTGTTAAGCAGGTCTTAACACCCTTTAGGTTTACTAATACTGTGACCTAGGACATTAAACTAGAAGCATAAGCAATTAGTGGGACTTTTGGAGCAGTCACGTCCAGTGCAAGGGCAGCACAGGAAAGCGACGACACTTCAACAAAAAGCTTCCGCAACAGAAACCCGAGGGCGAGGCGCTGCCCTGGCTGACTCCGGGGCCCTGCTGGATCACCGTTGGAAGCGGCTGTCTTCAGGTAGCCGTCCAGGCAGGGCAGCACATCCCTGTAGAGCGGCTGGATGAGAGGCTGGGAGATGCGCGACGACCACTCTTCCAGAGCGTCCAGGGCGGCGCTGGCTAGGGGTGTGTGACTCAGGCCCAGCTTCAGGGCAGTCTGGGTGGGAGGCAAAAACAGCCATGAGCCAATACCCTCTTTTCTGGTGAGCACAAAACCTTTATATTCACTGCATAAAAAAAACAACAAAAACATATTCACTTCAGAGTTACACATTTTTAATATTTACTTCTCGGGAAAAAAACCCAATGGGTTTTGCAATTACTAAAAGCTGATGTTACAAGCGTATAACAAGCGTGGTTTAGGTTTAGGCCGCTTATATCCAAGATCAGCCATCAGAAACAACTTATATGCTTATAAACAACCTATATGAAAAAACTTGTATATAACAACTTGCACATTGTTGTCTCTGTCTTCCTTTTCTTAAACAATCGTATTGTTGTTTTTTGCACTACTTACC